CTATTTTAATTAAATTAATCATTTAATATATAAACCAACCTGATTAGCTTTGTAGTAATTGTCACCATCTTGAATCGGTAAATCACAGTCGGCTACTGTGAAGAAGTATTCATCTAGACCCAGTAACGTACATTTCTCTGTTGTCTTGTTGTAGTTGAAAGATTTACAGCCGTCCGTGTGATCACAATACATCGCGCAAAACACAGAATTTCTCTCCCAAAATGTAGATATTGTGCTGGTTGGCTTTATCTGGCCACTTTCACAAAATTGTCGAAAGGTTTGCGAGCAGTGACTTAAGAGAAAACAGTTAGTGAGTATCACAAAGAATTTCATCTTTTTTTAAAATAAGTTTGATAAAAAATTGACCCTTTGTATATTTTACAGAAGTCTCGTCACGTATTTTTCAATAACACGTACTTTGGCCTTTTCACAAACTTTGCCTTTTTCAGAAATTTTTTTTTCAATGTAAGCAAAGATAATGTTGAAATTGTGACTTGTCCTCGGCCGCTAAGAGAATTGACTCATTAATGTATCTCGCTGAATCTTTATATACATGTATTATTTAATAGTGGTAATTGCGTTAATGATACAAAATCCTAATATCGACTTTGTAAATGCAAAATTGTAAACAGTAATTAAGCGTTTTAACCTCATTATCGACTACCATAAAGTAGAGATATCGTGAGTAAAGGAAACCATTAGGGTACGAGTTAAAATAGCACTAGCAGGCACTTGTGTATTAATTATAGGAAAAATAAAAGTGCCAAATAATCAAAAAGTATTGTAAACAAATTCAAAAAACAAAAGTCAATACCACTCAGTTCATGTTTACGTTTTTGGAAACTCTAAGTAATAAAAATGTAAAAGTTCAGCATTGTTTAAGATTCCATTTCAAAAGTAAGAATATGGGTTCTTACGTTCTTGCATAACTAAGGCCTTTTAGACAACTTTGGTTTGTTCTATTGCTTATCATCATAATCAGGACAACTAACCCCAAATGTGGTGTGATAGAACTTTTATTTTATTATCTATAGACAGTTATACATCTATAGGAAATAATTTAAAAATGAGATAGCGCAAATTTCCTATCATTACCAACTAGCCGACGTCATATTGTTGCATGTACATGTACCAGATCGATCAATAAGTTCTGAGAAAATCCTCTAAAATCAAGAGTTGTGTGATTTTTTTATTCGAAATTTTCACAGAATATGTAAAATGAATTCAGCAATTAGTGTTAAAAGTGTTATGCACTTTCCTCTTATTGAACCAAAAATATAGTTACTATGGTAACTCTATTTCAGGTAGGCAGGGCAAATAATTTAAATGGCAGAACTAAAGCGCATAACATGTAATAAGTCAATTAATATATAGTTCTGAGCTGCTTCATTCACACATTCCTTGAAAATTTTGAATAAAAAAACACAAAAGTATTAATTTTAGAGGATTTTTCTCAGATTTTATTGATCGACCTGGTATGTATCATAGTGTTACATCACAATTTAAATCAGTAATACTAATAACAGGCTGGTGAATAAATTCTGTTAAAAATACTTTTTATTCGTTCATCATTTGCATTACAATTTCTTATTCCATGTAATATCAAATTTAAGAATAGAAAAGTAATAGTTTACAGCATTCAATTAGCCTACTGTAGCTGAAGCCCCTTTGATTTTGCCAGTAAACATAAATAAAATATCTCTCTCACTCTAAAATATCCTTTAAGTAAATAGAGAAATTTCACAACTCACTCATAGCATTTTTATTATTCCTGTATAACGTATAACTTAAAAAGCGTTTGATCATAGGTCATCATTTATTGCGCAGCTCTATACGTCCATAAGTCTGATATTCTTATATTCGACCTTCGTCCATACATAAGAATATCACACTTATGGACATGTAAGCTGCACAATAAGTGATAACTAAAAAAAAAGTCCATAAGTTATACGGGAATAATAAACAGCTACAAGTAAGTTGCAAAATCTCTCTAATAGCAAAGTAATATCAATCATGAAATAGTAATTAAAACACAATGGATCATTTAGCACATGTGTATATATATTGAAAATATCCATCTTTAAGTAAGATGTAATATTTCAAAATGGCACTTGAAGTTACATAACTCCTGCACTAAAAATATTTACTCATTAGCTTAATAGACTAGATGCCAGTAGAAATAATCTTGATTAACGTCATTAAAAATTCAGTCAAACTGATGTCATATTTGAAATCTGCATGTAAAATTAATTCTAGAAATGTGGTTTTGTAAAGAGTTTATCAACTTTGAAAATTTAGTATCTAGAAAATGTGACTTCTAGGTTGGGGAGATTCCACATAGACCAACATAAGAAAAGATACATAATGTTATGTATGTTATGTTGTAAAATCACAAAAAGTGAAATATCTTTTCCTGTGTTGGGCAGATAATATTTTCTTTTGCTGGACATATTTTAATTTGTATAACTATCCGATACAAGGTAATATGAAAAGTGAACCATTAACACCCCAGTCACATTTCCTACGGCCACCTTGCGGTCTATCATTTCTGCGGCCAGTAACATTTCTACGCTCGCCGTGGAATTTCTGCGCTCTCATACTTTTGCAGTCACATTTCCCACGGCAGCCGCACAGTGAATTTTAAATTTCTGTTGATAAATAATACTTTTTTCATTTTATTTACATCGGGACAATTTATAAATGTTATTCATAGTGCTAGGATGTAATATCAACTGAAAAGAGATCGTGAAACATTGACAAATAATGATTCAATCTTGTTGAGCCAGTTGATTTCCACGGGGACCTCAGAAATAAACAAATATCATAACTCTGAGTTATAATGTCTACGGCGACCCTGCGGCCTGTAAAAAACTGGATACGCCGTACGGAGGCCGCAAGGCGAGCGTAGTTTTCCTACGCTCGCCGCAGAAATACACCGATTTAATCGATCTGCGCTCGACGCACGCCCTCCCTACGACAAATGGTGACTGGGGTGTTAAACTGATAATTATTCAAGTTTAAGGGAACTGTTAACTACCTACTCACATCTGAGTAATTGATTACAATAAAATACATATCAAAATATTATGTATATTTTCTAAATGACATTGTGTCATTTATCTTATGGCACTGCTGACTAAATCTTCAAATACACTGAATTAAATTGTTTGCTCATTGGCAAGAACTGTGTATATATTTCAGCTATTATTGAGTGCATGTAATTCAATATACCGTAAACACTAATTGAGTATACATATGACAAGACACCTTTAGCACTTATTGAGTAAACATATAACATTATGCACCTTTAAGCACTAACTATTGATACATATATTAATATAAACTGAGCACTTATTGGGCTTAAATAATTATACCAAATTATACCAAGGCACCTTTAGGCATGTAATGAGTATACATAGGCATTTACTGAGTATACATACATAATGTTATGCATAACAATGCACCTTTAGGCATTTAATGAGTATACATATAACAGTGCACCTTTAGGCATTTAATGAGTATACATATAACAATGCACCTTTAGGCATTTAACGAGTATACATATGACAATGCACCTTTAGGCATTTAATGGGTATATATGTAACAAAGCACCTTTATGCATTTAATGAGTATACATATGATATTATGCACCTTAAGCACTAACTTTTGATAGTATGAGTATGCAAAATCCATGATTTAATTATTTGAAATTGGCAAGAAAAAGTTTCGTTTCATAGAGGTTTGTCTTGTTTTAGATTCTAAGTCAAAAATAAAATATGCAAAACACAAAGAATTTACATTTAAAACATACAGGAATATTTAAAGTATTCATGTATTATTCTTAATACATACATCAGGCCTCCTAGACTTCCACCAATGCGAACTTTGGCCTTCTGACCTTGCGAACTACTTTCCTTGCACTCAACCCACGATTCTCACATCGCAAACATGAAATCTTTAGTCGAGCACCACCATTTCCTCGCTCCGAACATATTTCTCCACCTATGCTCGCAAACAATATGTACATAGTGCATCCGGGTATTTGGAATTTTTCTAGTTATGCGTAATAATGTGAATAACATAACAGACTTTTTTTTCGATCAGGTGTGTGCTTCGGGAGCACCGATCTCTGTGTGCGAGTGGAGAAGTTCGGGAGCGAGGTGGTGAGTGACTAGAAATTTCATGTTTGCGATGTGAGAGTCGTGGTTCGAGTGCAAGGAACATAGTTCACAAGGTCAGAAGGCCAAGGTGGAAGTCTAGGAGGCCTGTACATGTATGTAACATCACAATAACTAGAACAATTGATTTACTGGTCTATATATGGAATGTTATGTTTATCACAATGGCATTTTTTATCATAATAGAGTCGTGACAATCAACAACAAATACAGCAGAACTTGTCTTCGTGAACACCTATCTCTAGTAAACACTTATGCCTACTGAAACCTCTTCTCAACACACACTCCACTGATTTCTGTATAAAATTGCCTTTCTGTAGTGAACACCTAACTATAGTGAACACATTTTGTGGCTACATAAGTGTTCACTGCACACAGGTTTTACTGTACCTAGATTCTATGATTTATGGCATAATATATGACCTCAGATTTCATTCTGGCCATTACTAAAGACCTCAATCACTGCACTCGTTTTGTCTTTTAACAATGAACAGAACATTTTCAGTCATATATTAGATCATAAATCAGAGAATCTCGATCTTTATCCCGTGGTTGCAAGGATATAGAATATATTGATATTGAATAGATATATTTGATATGTGGATCAAGATATCATATTTTAGCAATAAATTCTCAAATCATCTAATATCACTTTTAAACTATAGAATATCATGTCTTTAAAAGTGATATTCAATGGTTTGGAAAGTGATATGCAATGGTTTGAAAAGTGATATTCAATATTCAATTTTAATTCTATTACTTTTTTTAACTCTTTTTCGCTGATTATGATTTCCCATGGGATAAATGGACAATCCTATGGTTTTTTCAAAAATATCAATTATATTCACTCATGGATATAAATATTTTCACTCATTTGCTGCACTCACTCATGAAGATATCAATATACACTCATGGATACAAATGATATTTTTTCAAAACCATAGGATATTCCTATATTATTCCTTAAAATATATTTTGCATTATTATAAAGTTAAATATTTAAAATATATAGTATTGCATAACACATTGCCTTCGTATGTAAAAAAGTATGGCACATCTGAAAAATATACATATATCATTTTATTAATTGTTCGTCTAAATAGGTGAACAGAAAACTATTATGCTTAAGTCCAATAAGCACCAAAACCGCCCCATTAGATTAGACCCTTTACTACAATCAATGGCGATAAGACTAGGTAGACAGAAAATGGCTGTTGTGGACATTTTTTGGTATGTCCATTTATACATTCTCTTCAAATGATTTTTCAAATAATTAAATAAGAATTACAAGGGAAACATTAGCATAGGAGTTTCCACCATCTACTCTTTGCTGCCAATTAAAGCGCTGAATATTTATAACAAGTCAACACCATTCTCAGGGACAAATCTTAGTTTTTCATCCACCTCATTTTGTAATGATTGCATCCCCATGGACTGTTGCATTGCTTGGGCTAGCTTCACGTAGCGATCTTTGACGAGATAAGCAGATTCTTTAGGGTCGCGCTGACGAGTGAATACACCCTTGCGATTGTTGATCACCTGTTAAAACATTGTAATAACAAGGCATTAACATGCAAAATTTCTTAACCTTACATTTGTTATTGAGGCTGAATGCAGACCAATGAACACCAAACACCAACCACTGAGCAATGTCTACAAAAAGTTGGGAGACCATATCAATATGTCACCACTTGTGGTACTGACATAAAAAACAAGCACTGACGTTTTAGCAGGGCTATTAATTGCTAGTTAGTGGCCACTAATAGAAAATTCTAAAATGAAGGATTCCGAAGCCAATATATTGCAACCATGATATGATGACGTCACACCAAGAAAACATTGGACTCTATTTGAGATTCTAATTTTTTTGTTACTCCTTTGGGTCATACTTTTCAAAACACTTTTCGAAATTTTAAATTCATTGTTTCAGCCATACATTTATAATATGGATGTATACAATGATTCGGGATAACCAGATAACTTACTATATCACTCAGAGGGGGCTGCTTAAAATCTGCGAAGTTCCATATCATCTCACCAACAAAGTAGCCCTCAGCCTTGAGTTTATCAAAGGCTTTCTGATTTTCTCGAAGAATTTCAACCTGGTAGTCTTCTGTATATGTAAAGCTGGGCAGTAGGTGCATTCCTGCAAGCATAAAATTGGTGTATACACTATGCATGTACATGTGCTTACACATGTGAAATTACTTTGTACATTAAAACCTGTCTAATATGAATGCTTCTGGGACCCGCCAAAAGTGTTTGGATTGGCAAGTGTTCACATTTCAAGGTTCTTTAACATGGTAATCTATGGCAGATTATAAAAGTGTTCATATTTTAAGGTTCTTTAACATGGTAATCTATGGCAGATTATAAAAGTGTTCACATTTCAAGGTTCTTTAACATGGTAATCTATGGCAGATTAATAATGGGACCAAATATCGGTTCACACTGAGAGGAGTTTAGACTAAGGAGCTGTCCGGATTTACAAATAGAAATGTATAGTCGACTACATATAGCTGGACACAAACAATAGTCTCTCAGAAGAGACTCAACTTTATTCATACACCATACAAGATTTGAATTTTAGGGCCTGTTTTTAAATTTGTCCACAAGATGGCACTTTTCATCACAAAGCAGAGACAAAGTTTGCTGGGGACAAGGAGCTTCAGGATACAAAACCTTAAGTATTCACCTGCAACAGCCCCTGCTCCATACTCTGTGATCATGACAGGCCTTTGGAGCTCTTTATACCATGTCGACATATCATCATACATCTGGAAATTGTCATTTAGTTATATTCCCATTGAACTTCTAAAAATTTATTGAATTGAGATTTTGTTATATTGAGCTGCCATGTGCTTAAATGAAAAAAGGTTTAATTTTTTCTCTCTCTTGTAGTACAAGCCCCTGGGCCTTATTTTGAAAGTACTTTCAAAAAGGCCATTCAAGGGAAATGTCCAGCATAAAATATATGGTACGATGTAGTTTTTTTATATCGATTATGTGAATCTTAACGCCCGCCGCATGGCCACCATAGAGCAAATGTGACAGTAGTGACTGAGGCTTAAAAAATGCAGACTTTACCTGAATATTGCAACAAATATGAATATTTAAAGAGGTAAATTAAGGTTATAATTACCTGAAGTGCCACAGTTTCTAGTCTTCCTCTGTCATTATACCAACCATGGTAGACATTAAACAATATGACATCACAGAAAAATGTTGCGTTTCCATGCTGATTGAGAACCATAGATGCAGGACGGGTTTTATCTAGAGCCTTTACATGTTGAAATACAGCCTTGAAATAAGCAGTCGAGTAGTCATGTCCCAAGCTCGCCTCATTTGCAAGGGACCACATAACGACACCTGGGCGGTTTTTATCTCGTCGGATCAGCTCCGATTCTACCTTCAGATGTTTTTGTAGCACCACTGGGTCAAAATTTTCCTTAGAGGCTAGCCCTACAGCTGGTGATTCATCTATTACAGCTATCCCATACTTATCAGCTAAGTCCTAGAAGAAGATATGAAACAGTTCCTATACATGTACATTTCAATTTAGGAGATGAGTTGAGAGTGATCAAGTTTTGAAATTGTCACAATTTTACAATATTTTTTGCTCTCATCATTCTGTGTTGTGTATATTTTCAAAAAGTCCAAAATTGACTATTTCAGGATAATACATCATTTTTAAGGTTATCTGGCCAAAATAATGAAAAAAGGACATCCTTTTCAGTACCTTTTTTCAGTCTTACATGTATTTTGAACATTTTTGTAGCTTAAATTTGAAAACAAAAATAGGATTGCAAGGAAAACATTGGAATCATTTCAGGAAGAAAACACTTTCAAACATATTGAGAAAGTAGGAACATGAGATAAAAAATGAACGTGAATATGAAAAAAGTATTCTAGCAACTCACCATGATTTCCTCTGCATAGGGGTAATGAGATGTTCTAAATGAGTTCGCATGAATCCATTTCATTAGATAAAAGTCCCGGAGATTTGTGACAGGGTCAACTGCTTTACCTCTGAGATCATAATCTTCGTGTTTTCCAAACCCATGAAAATAAAATGGCTGCTCGTTGATAAGGAACTGCGTTTTAGTGACCTAGGGTGAAACCAGAATGCAGTTGAAATATGCATGATCTCTTTAAATCTATATTAGTTGTTTTCTTTATTTCCACAGCATATCTTTAAGATACCACAACTTGGGCTCTAAAATTGTTTTACTTCATTTTGAGCAAACAAAAAGTAATACAAGAATTTAGTAAGGAATTTTTTGAGCCTTCATATTACCAGAAATTTTTTCTTTCAAGTACATTGATTATGCGAATTGTATGCAGTTGATTTTTAATGATCAGGTAGTTTAGAGTGACCATTTAACTTAACTGACTTATTTAACTAAGCTGACTAGAAGTAATTATTTATTCTCACCCTAACTGTTCTGATTCCGATTGGAAGATCATATTGGTCGTATATCGCGATACCTGAGACATCAACTATCGTCACACGCAATGTGTACATAAAACCTGGGCTATTACTCATGTACATTGGCCACCATAGTTTGGCATCTGGGACCTTAAAGAAATAAGTTTGACATCATTGACATAAAAAGAATTTCAACAAAATCAGTATGGCATCATGAAGATAAAAAAAGTTACATCAAAATAAGTTTGGCATCATGGACACAAAAAGAATTACAAAGAATAGTCTGGCATCATTGACATAAAAAGAATTACAACAAAATTAGTTTGGCACCTGTGACCCTAAAAATGAATGTATACTTTACAAAAAGGCATGTACAGGTGGTCAACAGTGAATTAACAAGCCACCTGTGTGAACTACTGTCTATGATCAAAGTAGTCAATTTAAAGGAAAATTATACCCAAATGTTTTTATGTTGCCCTACCTTCAGACCTTACAGATACTACTTGCAAATGTTTGAACTGGTGAAATATTTGGGTTTGTTTAAAATTAACTTTCATTCACATGGCTGCTCATATATTTTGCATTAACTCTAAAAGTGTGTAGCGATGAGTGAAATCAGTGGTCAATGACTGTTATGCATTACCAATAGAGAAAGTATTTGGGTATATAATGCATGCCAAAAAACTTCCATAACTCTTTATTGCATTAACACTTTTCAATAAACCATGGATTTCAAAATTAAGTCAAATGACACAATCCTTTTAAAGATTGCAAAAATATATCTTACATTACATTTTGCTTAAAAAGGTTAACATATACCTGGGGTGCGAATACAAATTCCCAGTGACCAGATAATATCAGATATTGCAATTTTACTCACCTCTACACTTGCAGCTATGTCTCCCTTGACCATTTTACTGGAGGAAATAACTTTAGCTTTTCCAGGCTGACTTTTGTCAATCACAGAAACGTAAACCTTGTTTTGTGTCGTAGTTCCTATAGCGCTGATGTTGTAATTCACTACTCCTGTTATATTGCCTACAGTTAAAACATATTTATGAAGAAAGTTCTCAGTAGGCCTTGTAAACAATTATTGTTCCTCTGTTCTGTTGTTTTGAAATGAAAAGGAGCACCAACAGGGGAAGGGTTGGGATAATACATAAGAGCCTCCCAACTCATATACAGTAAAACCTGTGAAATGGAGCACCTTTGTAGGTGAAAAATTTCCACAAGTGGAACACTTCAAAGTCCCAGAGCTATTTGAGTGAATGTTAAACTAGAAATTGGCAACTCCACGGAGTAGAGAATCCCAACAAACACTATATAAATTATGAATCTGTACAGTCACAATGTAATGTTTACCATCTATTTTTCCCTTCAATAAATATTTGAGATCATTGTAGTATCATGTAACCATACTTTAAAGATATATCTAAGTAATGGTGAATTCCTGCTCTAGGCAGCCATTTTAAATTTTCTGAGGCACAAATCAGAAAAATAATACCACAATTGTGGTCTTCTCTAAAATTCCTTCAATTTGAGGATAATATAGCCATACTTCTAAGAGATCAGAAAATTATTGAGAAATCATACATTAGGTGGCCATTTCTAATTTTACGAGGCCAAAATCAGAAAAAACGATATAATATTTGCAACTCTAAATTGCCTTTCATTTGAGTATAATAAAGCTATACTTCAAAAACATCTCAAAATAAACGCAAATTCCTGATTTTTGAGAAAAATTCCTGCCATTTTTAAACCAGTGGCCATCTTGAACTAATTTTTACTATTCACCAATATATATCTTTCCACCAAATATGAAGAAAATCCGTCAAATTGTGTTTGAGTTATCTTCCAGACAGAAAGACTGATTAATGGACTGACAGACAGATGGACGGAGGGCTTCACTATATCCCTACTGAACTTCGTTTGTTGGGATAATAAACCTCTGTTAGTAGAACACTTCTTGAGCGGAACAGAGGTTAGAGGTTCCAAATGTGTTCTGCTTACACTTGTTTAACTGTATACAAGTATACTTGTATAGGTATACTGTCTAAAAGACGTAAGGTGTTCAATTTTGTAACTTTCCTTCAAAACCATTATGAAGATCCAAAAATCAGAAGATAACAAGTCTAAATTAAACTAAAGCCGACCTAGACTTCCCTCGCTTCAGTCATTTCAATTAAATATGCAAATATTTTGAAAAGTCACATATGTAGTCATGTATCACCCCAATCATCATTTTCATTCATCTAAATATATTTAGCCATTTAACGAAAATGTTCAGATACTTTTTCCTTACCTGAAATGTTTCTATATGTAGTGTCCACTGTGATGTCATCAATATATACCAAAGGTGTGCTATACAACAAAACACGCCTATCAATGCCACAATAATGGAAGAAATTGCCAACTGGATCCATAATGAAGTAATTCTCAGGATATCGATTTGTGTTTGGCTCCCATGAGAAAGATCCTAGAAAAATAATTTAAACTTTTTTTATTGTTAAAACTTCATTTGAAATTATGATTGGTTTAGGAGAAGTCAATAGTTTCCACCATTGACTGCACAACAAGATTAAAATCAGAGGGATATGTCTGAGCAAAAAATCTTATTTTCTATTTTTCGGACTAAGAAAACAATTTAAGCCCTCTTCTTTCGATTGATTTACAGTATGGCTGTTCAATTCAAAACAGCCATTTTTCATAAAACATAAACTTTGATAACTCAAACACCAGTTATCAGATTTGGTTCGAATTTTAACAGTCGACCTCTGAAGGGGTTACTAATATTATCATGTAACCTGGGGGTAACGTATGTGCATGCATGGTACTATTCACTGCCACAGTCAGTCTGTTAGTAACAGGGGGAGCGAACAGATACTGGGAGATTTCAGCTTCAAATGGTAAGTGACCGCCTTCATGAGACATCACCTCCATGCCATTCAACCAAACCTGTCAATCAAATGTCCAGCTTGTAAATGTAGATACATGTACAGTCGATAATTTTGAAATTGTATGCTTTTTTGGAAAGGTGAAATTCTTTTCTTCAGATCTGGTGCTATTTTAGCATTCAATTTCAGACTACACTGTATACATGTAATTACGATTTTAGGGTGAGCGATTTCCATCCGTAAGACCACCAAAGTTATGCATGTATGGTTATACCTCACATAAGACCATGGTCTTATACACAGATCATGGTCTTATATGCAGATAATAAAAATCAAAGGTGATAACTCTTAAATGTCCGATATAATATTAAATATCAAAGTAATAACCTATGACAAGTTAAGACAATCGTATAGTTCAGTGACCCCTCCCCATAGTCCCCAAAGCCAGTGGCTGTCAAATTGTCCATCTGGCAATGGTGACCTCTGACTGACTGGCTCGGCAAGTTCTAAGAATGTGGAAGAAGCTAATTTAAATGAATGCTAAGGGTACTTTTCACAAAGCATACAATTTCAAAATTATCTATTGTACTACAATTCCTGATGCTAAATCTGAGGAAAATGAAATGCTGATTATAGCACCTACGGAGGCATAGTATCTGACGCTTTCAAATCTCAGGACGATCCTCCTGGCAATTTTGCCTTCGACAGTATCAAGCCAGTGTTTAGGTGTCTGGAATGTGGTTTCATACCAGGCCCAACCAACAAAATTCCTGAAATTAAATCACATATTTTTATATGAGGCATTTTAGGCATTCGTGTCAAGCCAAAGATACATGTACAGTATCTTCAGGACCCTGGCCAAAAAATATTTCAGATTATGCATTTTCACCATTCTGAACACTTTTCAAGTGATTGTGAGCCAAAGTTGACAACCACCTAGAAATTTTTTAAAAGTGAACCCCCCTTGGCAAAATGGTTGTCACCCCCCCCCCACCTCCCCACCAAAAAGAATAAAAGCATTTTTGTGAAATCTCTTGAAAAAATATTAACAAATTATAGTTTGAAATGTTTAGACTGCACCATATACAATGTTAATTAAAAAAAATACCGGGCTGAACCCCCGTATCCCCCTTTTTGGGGCGCTTTTCGCTTGCAGTGATGCAAACCCAAAAGACTGCACCCCCCTTGACCATTGCTGGCTACACCCCTGAAAGCTATAGGTCCCATACAAGATATTGCAAACAAACATACTTACTGTATTGAGCGATTAGCTGTGATGTCATTGTAACTCGAGGGTACTGGCATATCTAAGACATGATCAACATTTTCAGCAAGGGGCCTTTTCCACCATTCTTTAACTAGAAATACAAATTTTTAAAAATCTATGATTAAAGATCCAATGTTAGACTACTGTAAATCACATTGAGTTTCCGGGAGCATTTTTTATGAATTCGCGATTTTACGAATATATGAATTCAAGATCCATGTCAGAAATTTAATGTTAAAGTTAATCTTTTACAGAATTTTGTTTCTGGTAGTAATGAGTAGCACACAGATACAAAATTAACATAGGTTCTGGGCCGATATAAAGATGGCAACACCAACAGAATCCAGTATTATCTTTATAAATAAACACAGATCGATTACCATGCCATCTTTATTTTTAAAAAATATTCCTATCGGCCTTTGCCAACAAAAATTAATGTACAATTCATCAATAATTATTCATCAACACTAGCAGAAAGAATTCAAGATATGAGCAAGTTTTTTACAATGATCAAGTAATGATTTGGTCCCACCGATTTCTCCCCTTTTATGGAACATGTTTACCTCTATTCTGCTATTTAGGCACTGGATAAACAATCAAATGCTAAAGAAATGATAAACAAATAAATAAACAAACCTAAACTTTGATTCCTCCATGTAGACAAGTCAACTTGAAACTGCCAAATCCCACCAAGATCTTTAATATCCCTCGTCATTGTTTCCCTGGGGTAAAGCATACCCCCAGTAATGGGTTGCTCTGGGGGCAAAGAGTGAACCACACTTGATCCAAGAATGCCAAAAATGACTATTGTGTATATGCTATGCATGATTTCAGCTGTCATCACTCTATGGGGACTGAAATCAAAAATGTTATGTCTATATCAACAGCATATTGGGAAATATCTATTACCAGAGATCAAAACGTGCACTTTATACATTTAAATACAATGTACATGTACCTGCAAGTTTGGCTAGATGAAGATGATAGACAGTTAATATTGTTTAATATGTAATGACCCATGTGCACGTCCGTCAGGGAGCTGTAGTGTACCGAGCCAGATACTACACTCGAAAGAGAGTGTGCTAAACGCCCAGTGCGGGAATCGAACTCAGGACCTTCCGCTCTCAGAGTCAGACGCTCTACCCCTGAGCCATAAGGGCTTGCTACTACAGCTGAGACTGTAGTAGCGACTTGCTATCGAAGGTCATTACAAACACATAAATTCTCCCAATACATGATACAGGGATTTGGTAGCAGCTGATCACAGTTATCAAATATGGTCTTCAGCGTGTTCTCAATACATTAAAATGACAATCATGGAATATCGACAGATCACTACAGATTCACAAGTATATCAAGACAGTGCTTGAAGAAAATGTTCAGTGCGGATATCACACACATATACAGCAAGGAGCCATAAATCTGTTCTAAAACCAGAGGTGTGTTCTGCTGTGTCTATGTATAACTGTTTCACTTTTATTTCAAATTCTACTTTGGATTCTCACCATAATCTTCAAATGACTATTTATATAATTTATATAAAGAACATTATCACTGTTTTTTTAAACTCTGCACTGCGCACACAGCACCGCGCAGTCCAAGCATTTTCTGCAAGCCCCATCTACATAGTTTACTCGAGTCTCTAGCTTACAGCTAGACGAAACTTCATTGATTTCGTATGTACTGTGCTACACGCACCTACACGCACCTAGAACTCATTTTTAATAAATTTTATAAATATTTTTAAGAATATTAATCATATTTAGGATGAAGCGTTGCTTGTCTGGATTTAAATATTTCAAAATTTCATTTCGGAGTTTTGACACATGGTGAAATTTTCTCGCTGTAGCTAAAATTGGCTTCCGGTTCTGGACGTGAATAACATTTGAAATTATTCTCGCTTAAAGAAATCAAATATAACAATAGATTCAGACAGGGATGTGAGCTGATGTTCTTCAAATCTATACATAAAGGTATATTTCATATTATTATGCCATATTTACTGTGCGTGTGACACAATGATTTACAATATTTATAATACAAGGCAGCTCAATCTTCCTCCTCAAAGCCGGAATATAGAGAAGGCTTTGGACCGAAGTAATACATAGTGTTTACCCAGAAAAAAAGGATAAGAGTTGAAAATATGTGTATGCAGCACCTTAGAAACATAAAACAAGGTTTACAGCATACTGACTTACTGAACAGCGTATATACTTTGTAAAAAAACCGCAAAAGTGACACTACATCAACAGTAAATAATGTAGGTGGCTCTTGGGGTCAGCTGACTTTCTCGCTTAAGCGATTAAAAATCTAAAAATTAGCTGTTCTCGAGGAAACCTAAATACGATTTGAAATTGACTTTTCAAAAGCCCTTTTTGTCGTATTAAACGTAATTGATTAGAACATAAAAGATTTCTAGCGATGGAGGATGAACTGAATATATGAAATAAAATACGTTATATACCTTAGAATACTGCATTAGAGCTCTCAAAGTGATAATGCAGGCCCTCACGATTCAAATGCAATGGGTCGCGAGTAAATCTCAGGCACGACATGGAAATCTGAAATTATAGAGGGCGCATATTCATTTTACACACGGCGAAATGAAATGAGATTTCCCGGGAAATTTTGGACAATACTAGTATATTAATAGTCTATTGTACATTGTACAACCACATTTGACCAGCACGATCACAAATCACATAGGGACCAATTAATATGATCTAAAACAATCAACCACGTACTGACCGAGCTTAGTAAAAGAAAAAATATCAAGGTAAATCACTTATGATCAGGAACAATCACCTAAACCAGGGACAATCAACTAAGATTAGAACAATTGAGTACAATCACAGTATCAAAACAAAATATTAAGAATCACAACCAAACAATTGCCCAGAAGAGTCAAGAAAAATTTAAAGTAATAAAAACAATCACTTAAGATTAAGAACAATCACCTGTAAAATTGTTTATGATCGACCCAATCCCTAAGGATCAAGACAGATACCAAAGATCAAGATCATGAGGATATTTCTAAGGATCAAAAACATTATCACTTAAGATCAATAACAATCACGTAGGATCAAGATTAATCACTTAGAATTAAGAACACCAAGGGCTCAGAAGAAATTTTTGGATCGGGAAAAATCACTTAGTGTGCTGTTAATGGGTTCAATAATGTAACTTAAAAGTCCAATATAAGATGAGATATAATGCATTTTTATTTGAGACATAAATACTTGACAGACATCTAGCAGCCCCTCGGCTATTGGCTAAAACACATCACGTGGTACAAAAGTAGGTCGAATTTGTGAAGTCCCGCCATATTTAGACAGACTTCCGGTACAAGTGCACTTGGATTTGCGCCCTCTATAATTTCAGATTTCCATGTCGTGCCTGAGATTTACTCGCGACCAAATGCAATGACCTTGTACCTCAAAACGAGGCTTATCTGATTGAGCGGATGTAAATAGAAAATTCCTCGAAAAACTACCTTATCACTGTAAAAGTGACACTATGTAGACGTGTACTTCATTTGAGCATTGGGCACCATGGCAGACGGAGGGAGCGAACCTCCGGGAGATACAACGTCTCCCAAAATGAGGGACAACTCTTCACAAACGAATTCAGACCCATCCAAAATTTTAACTTCAGAAAAGAATTGTTTTCAGATTCCAAAATGGTTATTTTGGACTTTTGCAGTGGTATTTGGAATAGTTGCTATGGGATTAGCATCATTTGATATAATTATGGAAGTTCCTTCGTACCTTGGGTTTTCACCAAACCGCGTTCAAGCAAGCCCATCCGATATAATGCAAGAGCTAGGAATTGATGGCGTTATTCTATTCAGGTAAACATTTCTGTAAAGTAGCGGCATTTATGTATTTGCATTGAACTAAGGCTGCATAAATATTGTTCAACATGAAAGACTTTACACTCAATAGAAGAGAACAGGGAGGTAATGTCATCCATGTACATGTATTGTCCGACACTCAGTGTATGTGGTCATTTGTCCTACAGTTACCTACATGGACGACATTGCCTCCCTCTCCTCTAAAGCACAACTTATCTTCCATGAGTCTCTAGCCAAAGTTGGCACATAGTGAGGTGCATGTATCAGGCAGTGAACTGTTTGGATATTAAATAAAGGTTAGCCTAATTATGATGTCTCACACTGAGACTGAATACCATTCATCTGCAAAATATAGTCCATGAAGGAATGAACTCAGGGAAGAAATGAATCCTTAAAGACATTCTACAGCCTACAAGAAACTAACATTTCTTAACTTTCTCTCCTTCCAGACAATATGATCGCAATGATGATGGTTATTTGTCGATAGATGAATTCGAGCCACTTGCCCATAGACTTCTTGAATCAAATGTAAGTAGAATTTAGCGGATTGAAAAGGAAGCTTTATAATGAAGGATGAAGGAGGTGTCTGTAGGTGCAATCCTTTATATGTAGTTTTTTGTCTAAATGTTTCATAACGATGCAAGTTAACCCTGCTACATTGATTTGACGAGTACCACTATTAATTTGCATCTTAATTTATACTTTTTCTGAGCTATTAGGGCAACATTTGGCTGAACATATTCTTTGACATACATATTTTCAGCTGACCGCTCTCTCTCATTTAGTCTCTTTGTTACGTAATACAGTGAGGTAGAATGTATGGATAAACTAGCAATTTCTGCATTAAAAGTGTAAATTCAGTTCAAAGATTCTATAAAGGGAGTCCCACTTATAGATTTTTAAGATCCACAGTGTTTCAAAAGAAATATCAGCTGAAATGATCTTCATCCAGGGGGTTTGTATGGAGATAATAAAAATATATGTTAGTCAGATGAAATATCCAAACTTAAATATATTTTGACACTGGTCATTGATCATTGAATTGTTGTTGATCCCTGCACTAATTGTTGCACCTTTAATTTGCCTTCAGGAAAATTAATCTCAGACTCCAAGAGTTTTTTATTTGTGATTTGAAGTTGAATGTCAAAAGCAGGATATGCAGGTTGACATAGCCTTGCCCAAGTCGGTATTTTTTTTACTAATCTGATCTTGAATTATTCAAGATAAGTAAAAGAGACCAACTTGGGCAAGGCTAAGGTTGACATTTAAAGTAGAATACTGTAATTATAAGGATCATGTGTATTATGATTTACAGCTTAATATTTTGCCATGCTTATTTCAATATTATAGTTAATTTTGATAAATGTCACTTGCTTGGATGAATATGTGATCAGTCTGAATATTTGTTATATTGTTCAGAGCCTCTCTCCCTTTGAGTGGAATTTACATCTTAAAATATTTGAAGCAAATGTTATCTTGCACAGGTGCTCATACTTTTAATAAATACAGATAAAACAATTTATAACTGCTTTAATGTAATACTGCTTCCTGTAGCAGTAAAAAAGGGTGATAAACTGTGAATAGCAGATAATTAAAGTTTTTAATAAATATAGATAGCATATCAATATAAAAATGTCATATAAACTATATTAAATACAACAATAATCAGGCTTATATGATGATTTATTAAAAATATGAGCACCTTTGCAAAATAACCTTGGCTTCAAATATTTTTGAATCTTGGCTAAATAAGGTATATTACTACCTTATGACTTTATATCCACAGTCTATTAAAAAAAGGTCTGAAAAAATATGTTTCTGTTTTTTGATGAGGCAGTTGCATCGCTTGCCTCTTGCGTAGCTGGACCAATGGGCTAAATCATTGATTTGTTTAATCATAATCTATTGTAATAGAACACTTTAAAACACTTTTCAACTGAAATGAATGTATGGTAAATTGTGTTGGTCAGGATTTGGTTAGATTAACCACGGTTTTTGGCCCCACAGTTCTACTGGGACCATCTGATCACCCACCGGTAACACTCCCCTTCCCCTTTGTCTATATCAATGTTTGTTTTTGTGGCTGTTTTCCTTCTATAGCTTACCCTCATTTCTGACAAGAACCCAGTCCAGAAGATTTAATAATCAAACCTGAAGAACATGTTTAAGAATAATCTATTGCATCCTACAGGTTTTAAACTACGTGATAATGTGTACCCGAGAAATGCAATGTCTCTATTTGAATTGATGTAAGACATTGTATCATTGAATCGAGGACCCTAAATTTTGGTTTCAAGTAAACTGCAACATGCATTGTTTATTTAATAGGCTATGGCTGGTGAATTGAAGTCAGACATAATGACTATTATGACCATGATCTTATCATTATCTCCCTATTACTTTTATCTGTTTATCTTGAAATAATTGATAACATTGAAATCTTCAGTGGAAAATACCAGCTGGATAAATAGACTTATTATGTCACCTCTACAAGTTGTGACATGTTGTTTTAGTTTCCATATAGTCTTGCACATATAAATTACATTGTCCCTCTGCCCTGTATTTCCCCCAGTCCCAGCCCAGCTCAGACCCCCCCCCCTTTCACACCTCTTCAACTTTTTCCCTGCTAGGCTAGAGTGCTTATAATGCCCAAATGGTGATTAGCACTTGAATATGCTCTCTTGTATTTACTTTATTACCCCATGTACATCTATTTTATATAACTAAATAAATAAAAAATAAAAAAAAGTTTCCAACTTATTTTGTGGATGGTGTTCAGGTGACGAGATATCTCGCCACTCTGGATCATCAAGAGCTGATGAGGTGATTACAACAAAAACTCAATACAAGTCATGAAATACTTTGTATTTATATCTTAATGAACACCTCTCTCTCTAGTGAATATCTGTCTAAGCGGACAGCTTTCCTCCACATATACTCTACTGGCTTCTGTATAAATTACCCTCTTTAGTGGACACCTACCAACACTATATAAAATACAATATACGCAGGTTTTACTGGATTACACAATTCATATCTTTAAGGTCGGAATATGCAATTTTTCAGGAAACTGCGACATACAACTTGACCATTGATGAAGCTGATGAGGTGGTAACCATAGAAACACTATTCCAACCTTTCAATTTGAGCACAATGTCCAAAGACCTGGATAGCTTTGTAAGTATGCAGTACTATAAGTTATTGAATGATTTGAAGTGCAATACAGGATATATTCTGCTTGAGAAATTCCGTATTGGAACGAGATGAAGTCGAGTGTCAATACAGAATATCGAGAGCAGAATATATCCATGTGTAGTACATGTGAACAGAGTACTATGAAGTTGCATTGAGGTCAGTCGTTTAAGCGTTCTTAACTGAGATATTCATAAGTCTACTGTAGCAATAGATTCATTATGTCAATTATGCAAAAATTTATAAAAATGCCTCAGAAATCCACCCCTGGAAAACAAAAAGCTTTTCTGTTTGGCCCTTAGTCAATTAAGCATTCTCTTGAAATATTTCAAGAGCCTGCTAAAGTAGACTTTTATTTATAACAACTCTTTGAGGTTTGAGCACCTTAACAACATGCAACTTTCAAAATAAAATAGATGGTACTTAAATGTATTTTATTGGTTGTATATACCAGGTCGTTCAATAAGTTCACGGAAAAAACGCTCTCATTTCAAGGATTTTTGATATTTTCTCATGAAATTTTCACACAATGTATAAAAAATACTTTCTGATTGATTCTGAAAATATCAGCATCTCTTATTTGATGGGTCAAAAATAAGGGTTACTATGGTAACTTGACTTTTGGGTAGGCGGGGCACTTTTTACGTCACATTATTCATTAGAAAAACAACAGAATAGTAGGCAATTTATGAGTATATCACATGAATTTCTTCTTCGCTTTCTACTTGTACATGATATTACTTAATGTAATAATAGTAACAACTATTGTCCCATAAGGTTTTAGGAATATTTTCCCACATGTTTGAAGGGCAATCTGGACTGCAGTCGAAAGTAGCTTCATTGTTTCATAAAGTCAACCTCTTAGCTGATCCTTCATCCTAGACAGCAAAATCAGAGTTGTCTCATCTGGAGAGTATGTAACTTGGGGCAGCTTTGCCATCTATTTAGCCAGTTATTTGTGATGGTTTCCTGCACAATATTAGCAGTGTGATCGGAAAAATTCAGAGTTTCCCTCAAAAATTTGTAATTTGAATAAGAACAAATAAAAAATAAGGATCCTTCCTTTGCACATATTGATAGATTTCTGTAATGGTAAATTGTGTGACGTAAAACGTGCCCCGCCTACCCAAAAGTCAAGTTACCATAGCAACCCTTATTTTTGACCAATCTAATTAGAGATGCTGAGATTTTAAGAATCAATCAGAAAGTATTTTTTAAACATTGTGTGAAAATTGTATGGGAAAATATCAAGAATCTTTGAAATTAGAGCATTTTTCCGTGAACTTATTGAACGACCTGGTACTTAACATTTGATTAAGTATTTTTACGAGGTTCATTTTCATTTTGTTCAGTCATGTTTCGTCATTCAAGTCCTTAGATTAAGAATGGATTTTAAAAATTTTGTTTGGCTTTCATTTTGATTAATAACCGGATACTTAAATAAAAAGTTGGAATGTTAACTTAGATCTCTTCGTTTTCAAAAAAATATTGGCCTTCAATGCTCACTGAATAATTAATTCTGATTCTAATATGTGACGTCACAATAGCTAGAACACTTGATTTATTGGTCTTAATTGAAGTATGAATGACCACTAAAATTCACAAATGCAAATAGTTGTGTTGCTTGTCTGCTTATCATCTTAGAATCGTAACAAAGACCTTGATTTTATGATTTATGTCAAATACGAGGGGGGATTCATAAGTAGTGGGACTTTTCTGAGGCAGCAAGTCCCTGTGTACATATCTCAACCAAATTTGGCACATGAACGGACTAGGATATAAGGCATTGTTTGTTGAAATTTCAATTTAATTCATTTTGTTCCCTAGCAACAATGGTTGCTATGGTAACCAAAAGTAGGGGTTAACGGAGCAGTTAAAAAATGAAGGGCTTGATCAACATAAATATGCTCATAAATATCTCAAAATGACAGTTATTTCCCAAAAATTGGTTTCATATTGTCTCAAGCCTTGTAGTCATCACAACTGTAACATATGTTACATCATCATGCTATTGTGATGTCACACAAAGCAGTGACACCAGGACACTGCCATTTAGAGTCCTTCTTGGATGGAGCAAAATTTGATTAAAATAGCAATGAAAAAGCAAGAATCACGTATAAACATCCGTGCTGTGATTAAATTTAATGCTTTGAAGAAGTTTTCAGTATTAGAGACCTATAGAGGTTTGTTGGAAGTCTATGGGAAAGAAAAAGTAAAAAAATCTACAGTATATCGGTGGTATTCTGTATATGTATTCTGAATATGCTGTGAGAGCCGAGATGATCAATCTTGGAAAATATGGTTTTGTGGGTGCATACCTAGAATGGTTGAAGAGATGCCAAAAATGCATTGATTGTCATGGCGAATACTTTGAGAAATAGTGAGATTGCAACAGAAGGATAAGGAATCAATAGTCTTGCACAGAATTGATGTGCTCCACAAAAGGACTCGCTAGAAGTCATGGATTAGATCACGTCCTAAATATCAGTTGAGACTTGTATATTTAACTAGCAATTAGTGACAAACAATGTGCTCCGTAGACCCTGTTGTGACGTCATGTTTGGAACTCTCACTTAACTGAAATTGGGTGTAACTTTTTGAAATTTTCACACAATGATTATCACATGTTTGTGGTTCTGTGTTCCAAGTTTGAATAAAATCTGGTTGATATAAGTGAAGTTATAGTATTTGTCCCACTACTTATGAATCCCCCCTCGTATATGACCTCAAATTTTATTCTGGCCATTACAACGAACAGAATAAAATTTTCGGTCATATATTACGCCATAAATCTCATCTTTTTTGGTTTTTTTTTTTTTTTTAGTTTAGTGGAGATGTAAATTCAGTAGCTGGGTTGAAGGCTTGGAAAAAACCTGCTAAAGAGTGGCAGAATTTTGGCGCTATGCACTTTGACTTTTTTATGCCCCCTGACCCAACTCTTCTCGAGAGTGTTGGAAATGTTTATGACATCATCACGTTCCATGGAGCAGATTTGATGACTGGTCCATTGTCAAGTAACAGGTATATATTTTTGAAGAAACTGATTTGAAACCTCTGAAAATCTCTCTGAAAATTTGAATTGTTGTGATTCTTGAGAGTTTAGATTACTGGATTATTGACCATAAATTTTCCATATTCAAGAAACAGAGAATCAAATTAACAAAAAAAGAAAATTTGAATCAAATTTAGATGCTTACGAAATATTCTTCATGTTCAGATAATTTACAAACAAACCAAGACTAATGACTTACAACTTTAAAACCCCAACTTTACCAATAATAGGTGACACATAATAAATCCCTCTATTATTAAGATCAGTCAACATTGGAGACATTTTCAATACAATCAAACATATCATATGAATAACATTTTTATTCCAGGTATTATCCATCCAGAGTCATGGATAATGAGAAAACTCTAGTCCTCCTGCTAGAAATGTTCCATCCCCGTCCATTCATCTACATGAGATTCCAACCACAAGGCAGTAAAGCTGTAGTGAGAGCCTACAATGATAAATATGTAGATATAGTATTCAGGTAGGTCCCCTGGGGTAGCTCCATGTATTGCAAATGTTTCATTCCCATCCATTTATCTACATGAGATTCCAACCACAAGGCAGTAAAGCTGTAGTGAGAGCCTACAATGATAAATATGTAGATATAGTATTCAGGTAGGTCCCCTGGGGTAGCTCCATGTATTACAAATGTTTCATTCCCATCCATTTATCTACATGAGATTCCAACCACAAGGCAGTAAAGCTGTAGTGAGAGCCTACAATGATAAATATGTAGATATAGTATTCAGGTAGGTCCCCTGGGGTAGGTCCATGTATTACAAATGTTCCATCCCCGTCCATTCATCTACATGCGATTCCAACCACAAGGCAGTAAAGCTGAAGTGAGAGCCTACAATGATAAATATGTAGATATAGTATTCAGGTAGGTCCATGTATTACAAATGTTCCATCCCTGTCCATTCCTCTACATGAGATTCCAACCACAAGGCAGTAAAGCTGTAGTGAGAGCCTACAATGATAAATATGTAGATATAGTATTCAGGTAGGTCCCCTGGGGTAGCTCCATGTATTACAAATGTTTCATTCCCATCCATTTATCTACATGAGATTCCAACCACAAGGCAGTAAAGCTGTAGTGAGAGCCTACAATGATAAATATGTAGATATAGTATTCAGGTAGGTCCCCTGGGGTAGGTCCATGTATTACAAATGTTCCATCCCCGTCCATTCATCTACATGCGATTCCAACCACAAGGCAGTAAAGCTGAAGTGAGAGCCTACAATGATAAATATGTAGATATAGTATTCAGGTAGGTTCATGTATTACAAATGTTCCATCCCCATCTATTTATCTACATGTGATTCCAACCACAAGGCAGTAAAGCTGTAGTGAGAGCCTACAATGATAAATATGTAGATATAGTATTCAGGTAGGTCCCCTGGGGTAGGTCCATGTATTACAAATGTTCCATCCCCGTCCATTTATCTACATGCGATTCCAACCACAAGGCAGTAAAGCTGAAGTGAGAGCCTACAATGCTAAATATGTAGATATAGTATTCAGGTAGGTCCCCCGGGGTAGGTCCATGTATTACAAATCTTGGATAATTGGATAATCCATAAAGAGATAAAGTAGTTTCTCTATAGGCAATGGAAATGATTTTTGAAAAGTTATATCGCCATCCATTTATTGACACAAGATTCCAACCGCTAGGCTGACAAATATGTCGACATTGTGTTAATATATTCATGAAGGATTTTCATTCATAGTACTATTGAACTCTACAGCAAAATGCTAAACTAAGATTATTAACAAACTGATACAAAATGTCATTATTTTTTAGTTTATGTATTTTCATTCAATATTTAATGAAATATATAATATAGTTTTGATTAATTTTACTTGCAGCTGTATGTTTCAAGTAGACTGCAATGAATAAAGTTTACAATAAAAGCAAAAAATGAGGCTTTGGATGTTTTTAACTTGCAATATTTACAGAAAACTCCTTGAAATCAAACTATGAGAGTAAAAATAATTGATCTGACCAAATTTTTTTGATATCCATGAGAATAATTGTACAACTACATTTATTTTAATTTGTAAATACTATTAGATAAAAAGTGGTCTTTATTTATGGAATAGCAGATTTGGTGTTTTGAGTAATCCAGCATATTGGCCCAATAAAGATTTTGCCATAATAACAAATTTTATTTTTATTTTTCAGAATTCATGCTGAATTTCAAATAAACGAGCCACCATATTATCCATTTTGGTTCACTCCTGCTCAGTTTACGGGACACGTAATCTTAGGACGTACATCCACCGAGGTTTTAGATTTCCACATGTATGTGCCGACTGACAAAAGGCTCAATGTAGGTAGGTACTTCAAGAATTGTTAAACCTGTCTTATGTTAAGACCATTGTAACCAGCCAAAAGTGATCAGATTAGCAGGTGTTCACATTTTAAGGTTTCTTGATTTGTGAGTCAATGGGAAATAACAAAATTGACCAAGAAATGTTTGAATATACAGGTTTTACTGTACACATTCATTGTATAATTAAGCACATTAAGCAAATCATGGCTATTGGGGGTTGTCTCTGATGGACTGAGCAGTAAGATAACACTGTCTTCTCTATTGACGTAAAAAAGATTGGGATGGGTAACACTATTACAAGAAGGACAACATTCTCTTTAACACCATAATAAAGTTGAATCAGTATGAACTAAACTAAAAGTACATCTAGGCAGTGTAACCAGGTGGGCAAAAAGTGTTTCACTATTTTTTGGCCCACCCTATATATTGCAATAAGATATTAGAAGCATATATCAGGCAGTTTATTCAAGGCAATATTTAAAGAAAAAGTATAATATAAACTAATTCTGTGCTATATGCACCAAGAAATACATGTTTCGCCTTTATCATATTTATTTTTAGATCTTGAGTGGTTGAATGGCCCTCGTGAGGCTGAAAATATGGAGGTTGATATTGGATTCATTCCCCAGATGGAGCTCCGAAACACTGCTCCATCTATCCATGCTTATAATGGTGGGAAAGATAACAGAGAAACATTTATAGAAAAGAAAGAATCTGCAAAAGAAACTGCTGTGAAGTCAATTAAATGGAAGGAGGAGATATCTTTCCAGAAATGTGCCAATAAACTTGAAGTTGCCTTTTACCCTTTTAAAGAAGTAAGACTCTCTCTTAATAACTTAACTCTACACATGATAACTCTCATTCAGAAAAATGGTTATAGTATACTAATTTGTTTATTAAACAGAGTAAATATCATTTTTAGCATACAAACTTACAAGTATGGAACTTGAACTTTAGCGAGAAATACATTTGAATGAAAATAAGAAATGATTTAGAATTTCATCGATTTCAACTGTTTATCAAGTCTTTATCATATTTTTTTGCAATATGTAATAATTCTGATTTGAGTAATTAAAAAATACAAGATAGGAATAAAGGCCTGATAAATGCTTTATGATCCACACTTAAATCCTTCAAAAGTAAAATACTAATCTTTAAATATTGTAGTGCTCATTAAAATGACATTCTCTTTCATTCTAGGTAACCTACCATAATTTCACAGAAGTTTTTACAAAAGCGCGGAAAGAGAATAAGCTCGTCCATCAGGTGCTTCTTTGGGGCGCCCTGGACGACCAAAGTTGCTGAGGTTCGGGGCGGACCTTGAGGGAGACTGCTCTCCAAGATCCGCCCGTTGTAAAGCTCCTCCAGGAGAAGTTCTTGAGTACTTGGTCACTTGTGGCTGATTTGGAGGTATTTTAAAAAATATTTTCTTTATGACCACCAGAAGTGGTGACATTTGGTGTTCGGAGGTTTGTGTTCGGTGTACAGCAGTCAGTGTCTGTAACAAATGGCAAGTTGTGACATTTTACATGTTCATTGATGATATTCATCATCATATATTAGTCGTTTTATGTTATTTTTTAACATAGGATATGCAGTTATAACAATATTTAATCCGCAATGTGAAAAAACAGTTTTGCCAAAGATTTAATTAAATGACATTAAATATTAGTTAAATATTTAATCTTTACTTCCACTAGTATAACAAATTCCACTTTGCTGACAAAAATATACTAAAATATGTTTGTTGTTTTCCAGGCTTATAAAGCCAACAAAGAGATGCCAGAGTTGGCTTTGAGTGCCGAGAGGTCTCTAGAGGCTTACAAATTCCCTGTTGAGATGATGGTCATCCAACCAGATGGCGTTGTTGTGCATAGAACTAACGCCAATGAATTCCTCGATGAAGGGCATGAGATGTCTTTCATGGAGTCTGGGTATGTTACACTGCTTAAACTGCAAATCAGAATCATTTGGTAGTACATGTATTTTTAATTTTTAGAATTTGCCATTGCAGAATATTTATTGAGTAAGTGTCATTCTAAGCAAAAATCACAAAAAGCAGATTTATCACCCTATGCAGACAGAGCCTGTGGGAAATATTGGGTGCGGAGCAAATGAGCGGAGGGTGCGGAGCTAACAGTCATTTTTGAATTTAAATTTGGGATATTTCTGAAACTAAGCCGTTTTGGGACTTCAAATATACCAAGATATGTGTATTTGACACCAAATATCAATACAATTGTGAAAATAGTAGCGCAATTCATTCTATAGCGACGCAGTGTGCCTTAAACCTTTCCCAGACCTATATATTTTGAAATTATCCTTTTAATACTGAGTCCCCAGCATTCATAAAAAATGGTGTTCAAGGTACACTATCTATACAAATTATTTTTGCATCTTGGAAGCCAGGCAGTATCTGTGTGATTTTATAAAAATTCGGAATTTTTATAAAATCACACAGATACTGCCTGGCTTCCAAGATGCAAAAATAATTTGCCTGGGTAGTGTATCTTGAACACCATTTTTTATGAATGCTGGGGACGCAGTATTAAAAGGATAGTCTCAAAATATATAGGTCTGGGAAATGTTTAAGGCATACTGCGTCGCTATTAAATGAATTGCACTACTATTTTCACAATTTTATTGGTATTTGGTGTCAAATACACATATCTTGGTATATTTGAAGTCCCAAAACGGCTTAGTTTCAGAAATATCCCAATTTTATATTCAAAAATGACCGTTAGCTCCGCACCCTCCGCTCATTTGCGCCGCACCTAATATTTCCCACAGGCTCTGTCTGCATAGGGTGTTTATGTGAGGATATATTTAAGCTATATAGCCTATTCATTTGGATTGACCTGATTTTTCCAGATTTGATGATCCCAGTGGTGTAGCCTACCTTAAGTTTCTGAAGGAAGGTCTTAGGCTAGCTGAGGAACAGAAGGCGACTCATACTGCTGAACTATAGCATGACCTCCTTCCCAAACCCTTTCCCACTTCCTCTAGGTGTAACTGCAACTTTATTGACAATTCTGTTGTCATGTGATATATCATGGATTGATCGGAAAACTGTGATTTCAATCTGTTATTTTGTAAATTGAGAGGTAGCGAAACATTACGTGTCTAATCAGCTTTGATTAATAGATCAGGCAATTTATACTGTAAATTGCTTTCATTTGATGCCTGTTTAAATTCGGCAGATTTGTGGATTGATAAAAACTGCCAAATTGAGTGTCTGTCAATTTTTTGAAAAATACTCATAATCTATTGATGGGTCAATCTGCTAAATTAAGTAGCCAAAATTTCAAATTTTGCCCAATCTGCCAAATTAGCTTCTAATATGAGCTGCTAATACATACATTCTATTATATTATACAGATCTCTTGTTTAAGGAGAGGGAAATTATGAAATTATTTTTAATTACTTGAATGTTACCCACAAATCTGTTGATTCTTGGATACAGGGTGTTCCCTGAATTCTAAAGTTCCATATTTCTGGGACACCCTGTGATTTTAACTGCTGTGTCATTTACAGTGATTTGAAAAGATGTAGCAAAGCTTTAAAAGGTATATATATTGTAAACTATATTTTAGCTAAAGCTGCTTTTACATGCAAGTCATTTATGAGGAACCACTAAATGAGAATTTATTGCTGACATATTGGCAACTACAGTATGTATAACTATATGTGCAAATCTCTCTCTACACTTTGACTAATATGAAATGTGGAATTTTTTCTCAAGATGTTTATCAAAGCGGCCTTTGGCAGCCAATTTATTCACATGTATTTTGATCTAATAGATATTTACAGTAAGACCTCTGTAAGTGGAACACCTTTGGTACTGTTCCACTTTCGGTGGTGTTCCACTTACAGAGATGTTCCACTTAACAGTTTTTCTAAATATTGTGAGAGTCTAAGTCATGTTGTATTTTATATAAATGTGTTTAATAATGTATTTTATGGATCTCAGTATTTTTGTAGAATTTTGCCATTGTTTAATATAGAGGACACTGCATGTATGTAATGCAGTATTGAAAACGTGTACAACATTTTAGCAGAATTTAAGGCTATATACACTCGCATAAGCTTCAATGGTTTGTCAGGTTAACTCCTTATTGGACTAAATGTTAAAAACTCTGTCTGTTTGAAAAATCATAAGAGTTATAGATTTCTTACCTAAAGAAAAAAATTAAATTCATATATGCACTTCAACATGGGGTCCAATGGGGAGTAATGATTGCCAGATCTTTTGTGGGGAGTGTATGTTTAATATTAAAAACACTGCAGTATTGAAAATGTAAGTGTATGAGTCTAAGGCCTTATATTGTGCTTCTAATACTCTTTGCTCTCCAGGCTATTTCTTGTATGTGAGCACACATTTAGGTGAGATTACATTACCATATGCACTTTATCATTGGTAATTTTCAATGAATTCCACAAATGTTTTTTTCAAAAATTATCTATGTTCCATAAGTTGATCTATGAAATGCAGTCTAGCTACATGTCCCTGTGACCCCTCTCCCACTACTTGAGTACACAGGCAAAGAAAAACTCCCACATAGAGGGGGGAGGTGGGCACAACGGCTTGTAGCCAGACTATATGAAATGCAAATATGATTCAATTATGCCAAGTTATCTAAAATAGGTCAATCAGTTGCGCTTATGATGTTTCCTTTTTAAACGTTAGAAATTGGGGACGGATGATAATGCAATGGTATGACTTGGAGTCGGGATAATTTGTCATTTTATGAATTCCATATTTGCCATTACTTTTCAATTCTCAGTATATACTAATAATTCGATAAGGATAAAAAATATGGCTTTTCTGGACATTGTATCAACTGTACATATTATATTACATGAAACTGGGTTCGTATTCTTTCTCTCAGAATCTGGCTTTCTCTCTGCATAGTCAAGTTTATATATGTGTAAGGTGAATCAGTTATAAGATCACAAATGATGATGTCATGACAACCATGGAACAACAATTGACTTATGAATTTCTAGTTAAGACTGCTTACACAAATTACCTTGAATTTTTGAATAGTTTTTCTATATTCATTATATTTTGATATGTCATATCATCCAAGAATTCCATGTTCAGCCAGAATGTTTGCTTTTAAGCAGGTGTTTGGGTTTGATATTATCAAACATTTATAACCGCATGTTCTATGCTATTGAATATTTTTTTAATAATAAAAAGCTGGCAATAAATTTTAATCTCATCTATGAGGCTGCTAATATGAATTTTATTTTGTTTGTCTTTTCTACATGCTACAAAGCGATAGTATACGACGTTTAGAATCTCGATTTTGGATCCATTATCTCAATGCAGTTTCATTTAGGGCGTTCCCTTTCTCCCCCTGCGGACCTTTAATTCAGTTAGTTATTCTCCTTTAGAAATGTTATCATTTGCGAATCTATCTATACCCTAAATGAGTTCTACGTATGAGGTAAGCTAATATGAAAATATATTAGGCTTAAATGGACATGATAATTGAGAAAAATGTTGAATATCTTAAACTTGGCGCAGATAGCACGCGGGGTAAAGAGGCCATTTATTAATTTTGTGGGATTTCTTTGTAACAAAAAACTGTTTTTCAATTTGTCCAAATGTATGTAGTTGGCACTTTATTATGAAAAAGTATTCAACGACGTTACAGCAAAATGAACGCAAAGTACGCACATGCGTACGCTCAATGCTTCTGAGAAAATTGTTTTTGTAAAAAAAATAGTTAAAATAGATAATAAACATTATCCGAATGAATGAACTTTTCATTTTTTCAATAATAGTACATACATGACATAATGGTAATTGAAAATATCTATTGGTCCGAGATTCAGTTAATGGTACTGGAATGAGATGAGTGTGGGGCAGTATATGCATTCACGATTTATTTCTTTATTTTCAATAAGATCTTATAACATATTTTATAAAACTTCAGGTTTAAGTTCTGGTTTCACTTGCAAGGGAGTTTAACCTTGCATATAAAATCGAAACGCAAACCAATACGTATGACCAATACCAATCGCCCATACAATATGCATCGCTTAAATATTTTCCGTTCACGTTTAGGTTGTGAAAAACATTGCAAGGTTAAACTCCCCAATAATTCAAAATAATGCCAATAACAAATATAAAAACAACGCATTTGATTGCCAATTATAGTTTTACCAGATCGAGATGAAATTGGCCAAAAATGGATCATTGAACATACATGCATTAAAACAACATTGCCGGTTGGACGAAGAAACAGTGACTGGGTCATTTCAATAAATTATGCTCAAATATACAATTTACTTATAGTGGCCTTGAATTTTTCCGTTTTGATTTTACATTTTAACAGTCGCTGTGTCAGTTCAAATCGGTTAAGTACAAGCGGAGTACAAGCCGATGACAATCACGTTTACATGCCGTATATTCTCTGTTTTCAGAATTGAGTCAAACACATTTTATCTCATATAACTTTCTCATTCTCCCGATCTCTCTGAAGCATTTATATGAAGTAGCCAATTAGACGTTTGCAAGCGCGTTGTGGTTGTCGTTGTTTATAATAAGTCATTCGAATACAAAATACAAGTAGCCTTATTGAGAAAATAGGATTACTAATAGCAACGTTCATGTTCATGCAAGCAAAATATTAGAACACATATAACATTTTTGAGCAGAATTGACACCTGAGCAGTGTAGCCTAGGTGGTTAGAGACTGTGGTAGAACGTACCGGGGGGATACAAGGTCCCGCGTTCGAGCCCCAGGTACGGCGTTCTAGATAATAGTTCTACAGGACACTCGGTCCGAAGGTCCAACCGTTTACCGGCCCTTGGCATGGGTTGGTTCTCTGACTGCTCTTGTCGGAGACAGATTGTGAGACTGTGGTTGGTTCCTCCACTGACGAGCTATAGGAGACGCCGGGAGTCATACAGTATGGTAGCGGGCCCCCACCAAGGGCAGTAGTGGAACGACGCGAATCGGTCCCAGTATGGTTGCCTTGCAACTGAAGCGACTCGAGGAAATCATGCCATTCGCGGTGACCCAGAAAAGACTTTTGCTTGTTGATACAACAATCAATTTCTAAGTTTAATTTATTTATTAAAATGAAATAAACATATTATTCCTCTTCAACACATTCTATGTCTCATTTAATACGTACGCAAAACAAGTACGCAAAACAAGTACGCAAAACACATATAAAATAAAAATGGTTTATATGTCCCTGTACCACCATAGTAAAGATCTAACTTATATTTCACAGGCGAGACTTTTATATTTTGTTAGATCTTTTAAACTCCAGTTGACCTTCCAATACATTCCTTACAATCTCAAACATAATATCTCCGAAACGATCATATGTAAAAAAAATGGTGAAGTTATCAAGGATTCAAAGTGCCAAAATGTGGAAAATTGTTTAAACTCTCCCAAATAATCAAAATGGTTACCATAAAATAGAAAAATGAATGGTCGCCAAACTTCACACACGTGTACCCCTTGGACTGGCACTAAGTTGGAAACGGTAGGGATTGGCAGTCAAATACAAAATCAGTAGTCGATTCCTAATTATGCGGTCGGAAGTCTTGTTTCGATCTGCGCAGTCTCACAATCTATTTATTACCATTAGAATTCACAGACGCGGATAATTCGTACAATAATCAGACTATAATAATGTATTTTCTTTGAAAAAAACAAAGACAAGACAAAAACTTGGCAGGAAGATGAGTGTTAGAGATCAAATAATGATGGTGATCAGAAGAATGGATACAACAATAAGATAATGTAGCTTCGTCACCTCGGTGGGAAAATTCCTAAAACAAGGGCGCGTCCATTTGCATTCTTGGTGCTGAGAATTTGATATTTTATTAGAACCCAGGATAAACCTTCCCTTCATTCTTGTCGGATCGGAACACGTTTGTCACATCTATATTTGAGATCAACTTTAGCTTTCCAAATGCAGGGTAATAGCCAACTGTACAGAACACATACAAGGCATCAAAATGCAAAATGTCACTACCTGCTATTTAATACAGACGCCAACCGCCGCCGCAAAGAAGTATGAAAGCATAAGAATATGTGGCCATTTGTGGTGGTGACATAATAATATTGTTTTCATTTATGCAAATTAGGTGTAGGCCGAATTTATAAGTACGAGGTTCAGAATGCACCAGGTATATAATACTAGCATTGGATTTGATTTTTTCAAGAATTTCAAATTGAATTTGAAAGAATGATTCTCTCGAACAGGATGATGAACATGCTTTTAAAAAACTGCAACACAAAATGTTCTCCTATTACCTCCTATTTTGGCTCGATCATGGTCGTTCGCATTCCCAATTCAAAATCTGGGAAACCCCACGGGTGTTAAAACACGAATATACCATGAGCACATGCTTTGAGGATCCGCGTTGTTTGAACCTACCGCCGAGCACACTTATACATTAAGACCCGTTACACAGTCATGATACCGCCGAGCAAGCTCATTGCATCATCGGGTCTGCTTTACCCCCGTGAAACCCGCTGCCTATATTTGAAAATCAGCCTAGATACGCGCCTCTTGGCCCACTTCATTTCATTCTAAAGCATTCCCCATTGAGTGGTCTTCCAGGATGAGTCTTGATAGGAAATAATTCAATATCATATTTTTTCCAAGTTAGATTCTTTCATTTCCTGCATTCTGATATCGGTGAACCAGTAGAATCCACAAGCGATTGTACATGATTGAAACAAAAAACTTATCAATGGATTTCAGTTATGGTATCTGCAATTTTATTCTATCGAACACTCTTTTTACAAATTTGACATTACAGATATAGTTTATTTTGTATTAATAGTATAAACATTTCATTCTTATTCTTTAAAGTAAGGCAGATAAATCATTACAAATATAAATATCCCATTTATTGTGGAAAACTACTGAACGGTATCCATGTCCAAAATATGCTCAGTCAAAGTGGAATACATAAATATAAACTCATTATGCTTTAAATTCATTATATATTCAAAACCTTTCCAAAACCTTAACTCTGTACATACTGTATACCAATCTATTACCCCACTATTGTCATAATAACATTGAATAGAATATACAAAACAAAATATTAATACATTGAACTTGATTTCATTAACTTAAAATGATGCTACTATGAGAAAATCAAAAATCCAGACTTTGAAACTCATGTACTGTAGAGGCATTATGTGACAATACACATGTGCAGGGTGTCCCGAAAGTATGCCCCCTAGGCAGACATATACCAATGTCTCCATGCAATGTGTCATATATCATTATAAAGCGTATGTAAAGCTTGGTGTAAAACTGACTTTAATTTTGGCTAAACCCTTCATTTTGAAATACCTGTAACTTTTTCCCATTTGTGAGTTGAACCATGATATTTGGCAATCAATGTAACTTTGAATGAGTTTTAAAATGATATATGACAAATACTATGAAGACATTGGTATATTTCTGCCTTAGGGTCCCCCATACTTTTGGGACACCCTGTACATGGTGATCATTTTGAACAAAATGGGTAAGAACAGTTTTTTAAACTATCATGACTGTTAGAAGTCATCTTCAGTGCACGTAACATCTAAAATTCCAATTACATGCATATTGTGCACAATAGTTGAATACATGTTTTATTTGTTTTTATGCGTTAAATGTTTGATCTCATTTGTTTCTACAATGTATTTATTGGATGCACAGATTGAGTGCCACTGCTCTAAAAGCATTTTTCCAAATAAATAAATAAAAAATTTATGGGACATATTAAAGAGCATTATCTGTATACGATACTCAATATTTCTGGACATAATATTGTATATACCCTCACAATCTTTTCCATAGCCTTAAACATGTGTATCTAACATTTACCCTTTACAATTAAAGTCATAATCTAATTTCATTATTAATCCGATCTAATCTGCACAGTCATGATGATTTACTCAAAATTATTATTACTGATAAAATACTTTTTTTAATCAAAACATGTGTAAGAGATTAATTATAGACAACTAATTTATTGAATTACCATGACATTTCAATGTTACCATGACATTTCAATGTTACCATGACATTTCAATCTTACTATGATATTTCAATCAACTTGATGAGATGACATCTATTAAATATACGAAAATGTACATACATTTTTACATCAATAAACATATACAAAATAAATGTGTACAGAGATCATAATATGGACAGAACATATTGAGTATAAATGTACATTAGTATAAATTATGTACAAATACATACATATCTTTTAACATACAATATTGAAAATATCAAAATCCATAAAATGTAAGCTATTATATCAAATAATAATACAATGGTCGGATTTCAGTCACATTTTACATTTTTGAATTAAAACTACATTTCTTTGTAAATTCTATAAAATATCAGAGACTTTAATACAGGGTGATCACTAAGTTCTGGGAATTTATCTGTCATTTCATTATTTTTCAACCAATCTACTTGAAATTTTCAAGGTAAATGGGAAATGTAATTTTGGGTTGGATAAAAACAGTCTCATTGTCATCTGATGTCACAATGGATAATTATTGTTACTATAGCAACATGACAAATGGTGTAGCGGGTCAAGTAAAATAAAAATGAATTCAAATTTTACTTGATCCAAAAGTTGGTAAATAAATACCTATTTGGTGGACATATTTCTGTGATTTTTTATATTTTCAAATACTTCTAGCTTTAGTTTCTAAAGTAACATCTTTATTGTTATATAGGAGTGCACTTTGCTCTATTTTTGTATCATCCATAGCATCTCAAAGTAACAATCATGACTAAAAATAGCGGGGAGTTATCTTCCATTATGACTATGCTCCTTCCCATTACTCAAGCTGCCCATACTACTCTTGAAGAATTAGGGTTCACACAAGTTATTACTGTCCCATATTCACCAGAGAATATTCACCAGATGAAGCGCCATTAGGCTACATTTTGGGTGCTAAAACATTATATGAGAGGTCATAAGTTTGATTCCAATAAGGGACTAATTTCAACAGCTTGAGCAAATCTTCAAGGGATACCAAAGGGAGGACTGGAACACATCTTTATGGACTAAGTTTGCCAACAACGCATGTGCGTCCAGGCTAATGGAAACAATAATAAATGAAATGATCCTCTCAGCAATGAAGAATACTTCTGAATAAATGACTTCAAGAGTACTGTTCTGCCTCTAGTACAGGTAGTTTGAAGCAACCATCTAGGCAAGATGAATACGTTTTGGCAGGAAATTTTCAAATTAACATCAGTCAAAATTTGCTGACCCGCGAACCACTTTTACTTTTTTTGTAATTACAATAAAATAAATTCTAGATGTGATATGTATATGAAACATTGCATGTCAATTCAGAATTATACAATGTACACCTGCTGAAAATTTCAACTCAAATGGTTGAGAAATCTTGAAATGGCAGACCAATTCCCAGAACTTAATGATCACCCTGTATAAGAGAAAGTCCAATAAAATATAGAAAATAAATTTTCCTTCATAAATATATTTTACTTTTAATTAGAATTTCTGTCTGAATACTCTACAACATTTACATAAAACAAATGTTTTTGGTTAATGGGGTATTGAAACCCCTAATAACCATGAATCGGTAACATACCCCACTCAACAATCTAGATATTATACATATATTAATACCTCTTTTGATTTCATGAGGAATGTACAAGTATTATTTGGAATAGCAGCTTTTAAATGCATATTGTTACAGAAAGCTGAAATGCAGTCATTTTTTATTTAACAAACTATACTGAGACAACTGTAAACACACAAAGCACATCTTGCCAATGAAATTGTAAAATGAAACTAATTTCATTTGCAGTTTTCTCCCTTAATATAGCTGCCTGTTAATGGAAACTTGACTGGATATGTACATCATATACATCACATAGTCCTTGTTTATCAGTGCAGTTGCAATTGGCTATGGTCATCTGGCCTGCCATCCTAGGAATGTCTATAATCAAGCTTCTATGGGTGTTTTGGCTCCAGGGAATACTGCCTACTTGCATTTCCATACAAATACACTGCAAAAGAAGTATGTAATATTTAGAAATGAACAGAATTCAAAATCATCCACACATTTCGAACTAGATGTTTCAACAGGCCCGTTGCCAGGATTTGCCAAGGGGGTTCACATTTTTAAAAATTTCATCTTTTGACAACTTTTGCTCAAATATAGCCAAAATCACTTGAAAAGTGCTCAGAATGATGAAATACTGCATGATTTTGAAATAATTTTTGGCCAACTCCCAAGCCCCCTGGCTACGCGCCTGTTTAAATGGTCTATTCGTACCATGTCAAAAAATGGTGATCTAAATACTCAATATCTCTCTCAAAATGTCAAAGCTACATGCAGAACACCTCATTTTGAAAGCAAGGATATTGACTTCTTAATATATGACTATAATGCAATTGAAATATCTGACATTTTCCCATTTCTGTACAATTTAGAGTATTCACCACAAGCTTATTCACTTTATTCCTTGATAATTCCACTCTTTTCCACTCTATTTTGCCTTTTAAAACATGACCACCATTTTCTTTAAATGTGTTAACTCACCAACAGTCATCTCCGCCTGTAGATATCAGGTATTTATCATTGTGCGTGAACCAAACATTCGTCACGTGCGCTGAATGACCATAGAATTTCTTATGTGCCGCCTACAACAATAACAAATATGTAATGTTTGTGTAAAAAATAACAAATTAAACATCTGTTTAAATTAAAAATTAATCTAAGTAAAGATGATTTATACATTGGGCCTGAGTTTCAATTTCTGGGGTTGAATAATGTTTATATATGAATCAAGTGTATTCATGGTTCAATCGATCTGGACTCTAATCTTTTATTTATCTGCAGTCAAATCAAGATCCCTAAAAGCATAAGTAGGTCTGAAGCAATCATTCTAATGTGCAACAAAAACACAGTGGCAGTTTAACTACAGAATTGCAAGTTTGCTATAGAACTGCAGTGTGGCTACACAATCACAATTCTGCAGTGTGGCTACACAGAAATACAATGTGGCTAATATGACTGTAATGTGGCTATACAGAAATAAAACATGGCTACATACAATGATTGTAGAATAGCTTTAGAACTTTGTACTGTGACTACGAATTTCTACCAATGTGGCTAAAAACATCGAATTGGTGCTACATTTCTATATAGAGTGGCCTAAAAGTAGGTTTACAGTTGTCCAACAATCTCTTTTTATAACTATAAACCTATTTTTGTCCACCCAGTACAATAAGCAATCTAGTGAATGTTAGTCTACTTCAATTAGTGAAAGCTTTCATCTGTTTTAAAATTTCATCAAAATCTATGCATGTTAAAATCCTACAGTTATACAATACATCACCTCTTGCTGAAGTAATAAAAAATTATGAAACAGGTTTAATAATTTGTTATCAATAATTTATACACAAATCAGGTTATAAGGGTGGGCTGGTATATTGATGTTATTAATGTGGGAGCATTCATACGATTTGGTTTTAACCTTGAGTTTTAACAGTTTAAGCAAAAACACTGAACCCACATGGTTTGAACTTTGGTATTATATCCCATACAGCATCTGAATTGAAAAATTAGAAAATCACAGTAAAACTAGCATATATGAACATCCCTTTTAAGTGAACATCTCAAATGCAAGCACTTTTTAATATCTAGCCAAAATCAAAATTACTATGTTGATAACTTACATCTTTATGGGGACATGGAAAACTAAATAATTTGACAGTGCCAAAATCATCTCCTGTTGCTATGGCGTTGCCTTGGTGAGATACATGCGCACAATTGATGTCCCCCTTGTCAGTGGAGTCCCTTGGCCACACACCAATAACCTCCTCACCCAAGGCACTAGAATGTAAAAATACAGACATCTAATATCATAACACAGGTTGTTGTTGCTATAGCATTACCATAGTGAGATACATTTGCTCCAAAATTGCTTCAAAAAATATGGAAAGTGCCACTTAAGCTATAACTGTCATTTCTGCATTCTAGAACTTAGCTGGAAATTGTGAGAATTTCTTTCATAATTTCAAAGTGTGAGAATTTCTTTGATAATTTGGAATTGTGAGAATTTGTACATTAGTGACGAACATTTAGCGTTCTTACCTTGTCCAGGTTGCCCAGGTGATTTTATTGATGACAGCTTTGTCCTCAACCTGGTTGCCAGCGGGAACCTCAAACACCTGGTGGATATAAGCACCAGTGCTAACCTGCAAGTGAATAACAAAACACACAGTGATAAATATCGCACTTTGAAGACCAAAATGGTCACCATGTAATTTATCAAACATGTACAAAAAATTCAAGTTGAATGGATAGGTGGTTTCCTGGGATTTTGATGAAAATATTTGATTTATGTGGCGTCCACCTGCCACTTCCACATGCCCATCAGAACAAGACGACAAATAAAAATATATACATATATAAAATTGATATTTATATTTAGAACTTAGTATGCTTTCATTTTTCAAGGTTTTATAGGGCAGGCCATATAGAACAAGCGTATTGATGAGTTTTTATCCATGGAATTGAAATATGACTATGTTCAGTACTGAGTGAGACTTGCATATATCTGAATACTTCTCTTGAACAACTCTCAATGTGAACAGAACACCTGACCATTTGAACATTTTTGGCCAGTTTAATTGGTGTTTTGATTAGACAGGTTTTACTGTATTTTTAAAATATTTCCAAATTGGACATCCAGTGATCTCCCCAGGATTTTATCTCAAGTGGGTGCAAAATTCTGAATCTCACAATTTAAACAAAATTTGGTCAAAATATGGCTAATTTTCATGAATTTTCTCATTTTCAAGTGGGTGCAAATGGATTTTCAGGTGGGTGCAAGCCTGTTTTTAAAATCTCAGGGGGGTGCTGCACTCACTTGCTTTAATGCTGGGGAGATCACTGGCATCACTCAAAGATAGTTTTGTACATTTTCAAAATAAAATGTAGTCTTATCTATTTAACAAAGATTTAGTATCGATGCATACCCTGATATATTTGCTGTCAACGGAGTAGTCCATCTGGATCACAAAACTAGGGATGCCCTTGCAGAACCCTACCCTGGTTAGCTTGGGCCCCTGAGTAACATCATAAAAATCTACGCAGCATTCTAAAGACCCCACAGCTAAGAAACGACCATCGGGGCTGAATCTGAAATCATAACAAACAATTCATAATACGCATATATTCTTCAGTATTACATTCCTAGCGAAACATTTGTATGGGGGTCAATGGAGTTTATGGTTGGATATATATTCCTGTATAGCGGCCAAACTTTTTTCCATGGCAATCTCATGACGTCATGCTTCAGTTCTTCCAAATTTCACTCGCAAACAGACATGTGACGTCATTGGTATGATGTAGCCATGAAAATAAAGGTATTGTTATACAACAAGTTTGTACATAATATTGAATATATGCCTTCAGTCCGCGTATATAGTCCTCGCAAGCTTGGGCTATATTAATGACACACCTCAGGCATATATTCACTGATAGTGTCATAACTGCTAAATAAAATGTACTACTGAATGAAAAATGTTCCAGATCTTAAAAATAGTAATAAAAAGAAAATTAATTTTCATATTACCAATACTCATCCCATTCAAAGTCAAAATTGGATGAGGCTGTTTACACTTTATAAAAGAATACATAGTTAAAAATCAAAATATTGTGAATAAATTTAAAAATGACATTTACCAATTTTTTTGTAAAAATGCGAAATTAACTTAACACAAATCCTTTATACAGTACTTGACCCATAAAGATAGTTATTAAATATTCAATGGATACATGTCATTTGTTTCTTTCTTTATGATCGATCAGCTATATACTTAAATGTTCCTCTAAACTGTTTTATACCATTTTGGCAACTGATATTTTGGCAAGTGACTTTTCATAATATCATAAAGAGATTACCTGGGAAATTAGTCAAATATTACCTTGAGTTAGAAAAATCTCTAATATGAAAAGTTCCAGATAAAATGGTTGAGAGTATGCCATTAAGTCACAGTTTAGCACACCATGCTAGTATACTAAAATATGTGATGAAACGTCTTACTTATCCTATTATTATTGAGAGTTTGAGAAAAATTATTGGATTATACAGTATAATACTTCAAATCAAGACAGGGCCATTTGATTTTGGAGAGGAAACATGAACACTATATATATTTTGTCATTCATTGGGCTAGACAAAAATAATGTGTATTCTCAAAAGTAGAATGTGGGTAAAACATTCTATTCAAAAAAGTCTGTCTTGATTCACTTCTTTAACTCAACTTAACCCCCCCCCCAAAAAAAGAACTAATGATTCATCCCTCATTTTTGAGACTACTGAATTTGAAATACACATATCATGATATCAAGTGAGATTGTAGTCCAAAGTTTACGTTGAAGAGACTGTAGACATTAATATAGAGATAATATTACTCCAGGCAAAATAAATAAGCAATATGCAACGAACTACTTAAAGAGAAATATAAACAAATAAATAATGAATTCATTGTACACTTAAGATACTTGAGTTAGATGAGTGGAAAATTAACTTTAAATTGTATACAAACTTGACACAGAAGCTATAGTTAAAAAGTGAAAATTCTTGTTTGGGAGATAGAGATTGGGAAAGCAACTTTATAACATTTCTATGAGGGCAGCGAGGGTTCAAAAAGTGGCCTTGATACAATTTTTCTTGCATACTGACATATTTCAAGTTTTTAAGTAGAGCAGAGTGAAGAAACAGGAACAGCCTCAGTACTGAATTTACTGTACAACAAAGTACATGCAAAAACTTGACATAGAATTTTGATGTGCATAAGTTCGGAGGCAGTTTAAAAAGTGGAAAAAGCTACACTAGAGTTAGCACAATGTTGAAAACAATTTTAGCAACACTTGCATGTGTAGTTGGAGTTTATGTGTATTTTGTTGTTGAAAGAAAGAACAGTATCAGGAGATACCTAGAGAAGGAGTATGATTATGTAATAGGTGAGTGCAAATATGACTATGATTTTGGCAAAGTGGCAATGTAATTCTTTACTATATTAACAAGGCATTAACATGTAAAATGTCACCACCTGCCATTTGTTACAGACATCGAACATTGACAGCCACATACGAACTGCCGATTACCATCCACTTCTTGTGGTGACATACATTTTGTACCATTCAGTAGGCTCTGTGACGCTGTATATATGGCAAAAATGTGTATGTAGATGACAAAAAAGCTGATTCCTCCAAATCTAGGCAAAATTGGTCCAATGGTAAAATTACCTTAAAGACCTCCATAAAATGTATATGTGCATTGGGTCATAATCAAAGAAATGGTAGTTTACATATGTCAGAAAATTCTTGACAAGCATATGGAAGGAAGGACAGACAGATAGACAGATGGCTAAATGGATGTGTCCTAAACATTTTCCCAAAACCGTTCATGTACAGTATAGCATGTAGTATGTAGTCAAGTCGTATATTTCATTTTCATAAATTCAAGGCGCTATGCTCAGATATGGGGCATAAATGACAACAAACACTTTCCAAATCACTACTATTTCAGTTGAAGCTGGTTCAGCAGGTGCTGTGATTGCCTTATAGGGGGAGATGGTATTCAGGAATAAAGAAGATGGGGATTTTTTCTGAACTTCTGGACACCTGCTTAGGAGGATATGAAAAATCAACCAAAAAGCTTTAATATTAATCACTACAATTACAGTTGGGGCTGGTTCAGCAGGAGCAGTGATTGCTGCTAGACTGACAGAAGACCCAAGCATATCTGTGTTGCTGTTAGAGGCTGGAGATGAGGAGACTGCATCACTATGGACTGGGATCCCATTAGCAGCACCATTTATGCAACAGGCAAACCTCGACTGGAACTACACCACTGTACCACAGGAGCACTGTTGTACAGCTTTTAAAAATAGGGTAATATTTCTTTTAAAGGGGAGAGGGTATTCAGGTACCCCTTTTCTCCATTTGAGTTTACTTCTAAAAGAGAGCTTTGTCTTTTATAGCTATATATTGTGGTTTATAATTAGACTCTGTGCACAGGTTAGTATTCAGGAATTATGAAGCTAGGATTTAAAAAACAACATGAATTTTTTCCCAAACTTCAATAACAACTACCTTCCTTTTTGCTCAGTTTGCCTATTACATTATAGCGACAAAAGGGGACTCGTTTTGAGTTTTCTTTGTGAATAAAATACCTCATATTTTTAAGTGACAAAATAGCCTCATATTCTCTCTAGAAAATAATCCTAATATTTTCCACATGAGTCAACAGCCATATATTTTCTATATACATGTAGGTGAGTAAATGGCCTAGAGGGAAGGCCCTAGGAGGTACCAGCATAACTAACTACATGGTGTATGTACGGGGTAACCGCCAAGATTATGATGACTGGGCTGATATGGGCAATACAGGGTGGTCATACAGAGATATTCTACCTTACTATAAGAGAGCTGAAAATATGCTAGATCCAACATTAGCAAAATCTGGTGAGAAAAATATGTTAACATTGATTTGATTGGTTAACGTTTATTTTGAAAAAATATAGCTAAAAATTAACGTCAATGTAATTAATTTTGAACGTAAATTCAGAGGTTTCATTTGCAGCAGGCAACAGGCAATTTTCACTGGTTGTTTTCACAAAATCTCCTGTTGTTTTTAGGGACTTCAACTTTTCAATGTAAATTCATGATTTCCATTAAGTTTGCCAGTTGTTTTCAATTATTTAGCCTGTTGTGAGAAATTCTAGTGTAAATTAATCATCTTATAAGCTTAATGAGTGACATTCTTTTGATTTTGGTATACTTGAGACCTTTTACTTTAATTTTAGTTGTGGAGTGGTGGGGAACTGTACATGTCAATCTGATGTTCTGTAACTTAGATCATGGTCATCACATGAATTATAATGACTTCCTCAGAAATTAATCTTTGATAATGATTAAACTATACTATTTATATGTTGTTGCATCATGTTTTCCTTAGGTATTTATCTAAGTTAGTGTTATGTTTTAGACTACCATGGAACAGGTGGGCCACTACATGTATCAACTGTTCCGATTATGCCTGCAACAGAAGTTCTCTTGAAGGCTGCAGAAGAAACAGGTGCTTTACAGTTTTAATTACTTTTCTAGATATGTAAACCACATTTAAATATGAAAAAATGGTTCTTCTTGTAAAGTAGAAGGGAAGAAATGAGTTAAGATACAAAAATTTGTCAATTTTTTACAATATTTTTTCTTTTCATCTCTCCTGGTCACACTTTCAACAGTAGACTTTTGGATAACATTTTGATTTTTAAGGTTAGTTTGCCAAATAATTTCACTGACTCTATCCCTTCTACTTTCTTTAGGAGTTGTGTCTGAATCATCAATCACTTCCTCCCAAAATTCAATTAATTTCTACAATTTAATGACTGAGATATCACTCAGACATTTTCCATTTTAATTCAATAATTTTCTCAAATTTAGAAAAAGTGATGTCAATGTGATATCTTCTGTAAGAGAACTTAAGAGAAAAACAATCATCTGGCTAAATATTATACTACTATACTGTGTTTAAATGTTCTTAGATTTTTTCTCTGAATGTTTGTATACATTTCAAAGTAAAACTGTTTTTGCAACAATGCAGATCAGGTAACTAAACTTCTAACAAAATTGTTGATGGAGAGGTGTAAACATTGTATGCTAGCTAGCCGGTTGAGGGATGAAACATTTGATCCTGGGGGGAATAAGGAAGTAAATGAAAAATTTGATGTCTAGAAACATAATCATTAGGTACAGGGTGAGCCAAAAAATGTAACCCAAACAATTTGGCACATTTAAACCTTGTTTAATGTTATTTCATTCTATATTTAAGCTTCATTGGTTTCCTGTTAATGGTCATGATTTTATGGCCATTTTAAAAGACATGCTCCAAATACAGAAAAATCACCCAGCAATATGAATATCCAAACTTTTTTCTTTGGAGCCATTTTACAGATATTGTCCACATTTACAACTATAGATCCATGAGCATAGTGAGAGGCTTTCCTTGAACCCCCTTTCTTTATAAAACAAACATTATAACCTGAACCCTCAACTATCAACTTTTGTCTCCTCCCGAATGTATTTACTCATTCATTTATAGACATAAAACAATATACTGACTGACCTTGTCCCAAAGAAAAAACATTTATGGATCAAGTTGACAGTTGTTTTGGCTTGATAAGGATATGTTTCATTTCTGTTTGTACTGTAATTCTATCAAATGAAACAAGTGGAAGTACGTAATAAAAAGTTTCAATTTGACCGATCTTATAAAACTTTCAAATCAAATTACTTCATTAAAAATAGTTGCAATCAAAGAAATGTAGATCATTTTTATAATTTTATATAATGTATATACTAATTAGGCAGTTTTGTCCTTTTCAACAATATATGTAAAGAAATACTGCTAAATTAAATCTTTGAAGATCAGAAAGCATTACAAGAAAATTTAAATGACAAAAATATACAAGTTGTGAATAAACCATGTCAATGATAAAACCAGTTAAACAATTATATTTTACTCCAGGTCAGCCTATACTGGATTACAATGGTGAAAGTCAGTTTGGATTCTCTCAGTCACAAGCAACCATTACCAAAAATGGTGTGCGAGCTAGCACGGTTCAAGCATATTTACGCCCAAATATGGATAGAGAAAATCTCCACATCGCCATTAAATCTCACGCAACAAAGGTAAGTTTAAACCTGATGAAATATACTTTTCTGCAAATATATTGCTAAAGGTTTATTGAAAGCTGGGTTGATTACGTAATTCACAAATGATACCTTTGGAGATCATATAACTGATCCCTTTCAATACAATGCAATGTTCTCTCAGTTCTAAGTTTGCTAAAAGAGAGTAAAAATAAAATTTATATTTGAGTTATAGTTACTCTGAGACAAAAAAAGAATGAAAAGCACAGAGAGTAACAGTACTAGGCACAAGTACAAGGCATATACCATGTCAAATGTCACCACCTGCCATTTGTTACAGATGCTCACCAAACGCCAAACACCATCCTCAAAAAAGTTGGAGACTATAACAATAATGTCATCATTTGTGGTGGTGACATAAAAACAATGCCTGGACCTCAAAAAGATGAACTGATACCAAAAATCACTTAAATGATGTTTAAGATGAAATATTACATTTGTCACATTTCTATTTAGATCATATTTGAGGACAAAACAGCAGTTGGTGTAGAATTTATCAGAGACCAAAACAAGCATACAGTTAGGGCCAGAAAGGAAGTGATAATTTCCGCAGGGGCTGTTGGCTCTCCTCAACTCCTCATGCTCTCCGGGATAGGACCAAAGAAACACTTGGAGGATCTACATGTAAGTGTGTAATACATCAAGGTGTCAGGGTCATGTCATATGGTAGGGTTTTCACACTAAGCAACATGTCTAGCTGTCAGTCGAACAATTCATGCAGGATTACCTAATCTGATCTTAATTAGCGTATTGTGCAGATGTCGCATTTTGTCTGATCTACCAGGACTGGTGTATTTTGTAGATACCAGTTTTGTTTGATCTACCAGGACTGGTGTATTTTGCAGATACCAGTTTTGTTTGATCTACCGGTGTATTTTGCAGATGCCAGTTTTGTATGATCTACCAGGACTGGTGTATTTTGCAGATACCAGTTTTGTATGATCTACCAGGTGTATTTTGTAGATACCAGTTTTGTTTGATCTACCAGGACTGGTGTATATTGCAGATACCAGTTTTGTTTGATCTACCAGGACTGGTGTATTTTGCAGATACCAGTTTTGTCTGATCTACCAGTTGGTGAAAATCTTCAAGATCACCCAGCAACAGATGGAATTCAGTTTATCACAAATAAAACAAGATGTCTATCAGAGAAGGAGTCTCTTGGCATCCTTCCTTTGCTACAATATTTCCTGATGGGAACAGGTAAATTGTTCAAGCAACTTCATTTAATAATATGTCTTAAAGAGAGAATCAGATCTAGCGAGCAGCTGAATAAAAAATAGTTTCAATTTTAGAATATTTCTGGCTTATGTCATTCCTTTTCATGTCTATTTTCTAAAAATCCACAAAGTGCACACTTTATTTCAGGAAAACTATTTCTTGGGAGAATCTAAACATTTTTCACCCATTTTTGCACTTTGAATCCATTATAACTTCACCAATTTATAACATATCATGAATCTTTTGGGAGATATTGTTTTTGAGATTGTAAGGAATAGATTGGTAGGTCAACTGTACACGTTGCTTGTAATATTGTCACCCCCATAGATATGATTCTGCCTTTAACATCTTAAAATAATCTTAATTGGTACCTTTAAGCATTAAGTGGAGCCAAATGGTAAAAAGAGATTTCTCCAAAATGAGGCCAAGTAGGAGCCACGAATAATGGTGTAAATTACAAGCATATTCAAGGACCATTGATTAAGATGAATGTCAGTTTTCATTTGCCTGGAAAATGGTTCACAGAAAGATGGATCAAAATGGGCTATTCCTCAGGTACATCATAAGAGCAAAAAATGGCACTTGATCTCTAACTACCAAAAGAAAAAAGGATATAATTACATTGATACTGATATTCTTAATATGCAACAACATAGTTCAGTTATCAATATTTTAGGTGATATGACAATGCCAGGGGCATTAAATGTGATGGGATTCATGAAGTCTCCCCACCAACCAGTGACAGAAAAGCAGCCTATCGTGCAGATTCATGCTCTTAGTGTCCTCTTAGGAAGTGATGCAGGAGAAGATTATGTCAAGAATAACTTAGGCTACAGTGATGAGGTAAATGTATCAATCGATACGTTTTGGTTCATTAAGAGATGGTGTCCAATTTCAACAGCTGTGGTACAATGAAGTCAAATTTGTTTGAAGGGGGGGGGTAAATGATTTTGTTACTGACCAAAACTGTCTGTGAAACATACACAAAGCATTACAGGAAATTTGGTTTCTTCTATTTAGCTGTGGAACGTGAACTATGGCGACAAAGAGCATGATGGGAAATGGGGTGTATCGATACTTCCCACATTACTGAAGATGGGTACAACGGGAGTAATAAAACTGAAAAGTAGCGATCCATTCGACTTTCCACTTATAGATCCTAAGTATTACAAGAATCCCCTTGATGTTAAACATCTTGTTTCAGGTACTGTAGTTTTGACTGTCCAAGTGGATTTGATTTGAAAAGTATAATAAAGTAGAAGAGTAAATTTAGCAAGGAATAAAGTAAACAGGCATGTCATGAACACTCTCAACTGTACAGGAATTCCAAAAAATCAGGCAGTTCATTCAATTTTGAGAGAAAATTGGAGAGGACTTTAAGCAGACATTTCAGTCATTGCATAGGCAGATGATAAGAATTCAAAGAAAGAACAAATATCACAAGCAATAATTAATATAGCATGGAAAATCTTTTATTTCCAGGCATAAAGTATGCTACTGAGAAACTCGGAAGAACAAAGGCATTTAAAGATGGTGGTTTTGAATTATTTCACCCCCATCATCCACACTGTAAAAAGCATAAGATTTTCTCAGATGCTTACTGGGAGTGTTTTGTGAGAACTGCCGCTGTCACCATATATCATCCAACTAGCACTTGTCGTATGGGACCAGTGGGTGACAACAACTCAGTGGTAGATCCTCAATTAAGGTAGGCACATACCATGTACAAGATCCTATATATTTTATGGAGTTAAAATGTGTCATTTTCACAAACCTAGTGTTAAAATTCTTCCAAAGGGAAAATAATATTCAAAGATTGTGCCGTGTGCTTCACATGCAAAATATGAGAGAGAAAATAGGGGGAAAAACTTGTAAATGGCAAGAGGCAAATTTCACTCAGAGGTAACTGTAACCTTGCCTCAACTAGGCCTGTCTTTCTTTCTAAAAATTATATAGACATATATATCCATGTAGACATAAATACATTGGAATGTTATCTTATACAGTGCATCCCAAAAACACAAGCAAAAACATTGTAAAACCACAAAACTGGTGGTGATGGCATCAATTTCATTTATTTTACCATGAGTAATGATTATTCAATGGTCCATTATCAGATATGAACGATGTACAATTGGAAAGAGGAGACACATAGCTTCATGGTAAATTAAATGGAATTGATGTTATCATCACTGGTTTTGTGGTTTTACAATGTTTTTCCTTGTTCCGTTTTTTTGGGATGCACTGTATAAGCATGGCATGTGGAAAAAGTGTACCGACTTCAGGGTACCTGTATCAATTGATTTGCAGATTAAAATTAAATTAATTATTCAAATTATTTTGTTTTCAGAGTTAAAGGGGTGAAAAACTTGAGAGTTGCTGATGCATCCATCATGCCACAAATAGTTGCAGGAAATACAAATGCGCCATCCATAATGATAGGAGAAAAGGCCTCAGATCTCATTCGAGGGAAAACATTGCCTAAAGCAAATATAAAATAACAATCAAAATATGCCTCAACAAAAAACAGTACCATGAGAAATGAGTGTTCCAGAAATAATTGACAGATTAAAGCATGTTTAGTGCATACATATAGGTACTAGACTATTAGGGGAGGCATCAAAAGTTTGATGTCAGATCGAAAACTAAATAAATCTAGTTAGGGGAGGGGGTTCAAAGCCATTTCAGTTTGCTTTCAAAAATGAAAATTTTACTTGATGATTATTCTTAATCAAGATCATTCTAATAGGTTCTGTTCTATCAATATTTGTTCAAAATTAAAGCAAGTTTATGATAATTATCCACATATAAAACAATATTGGGTATAAAATGATAGTCTATGTGTAAAAACAATTATAAATTCACAGGCCTATTATATTGTTGCTCTGTGCATAAAATAGCGTAATCCAGTAGACTCATGTTTGTTTGAAAAAATAAAATTTCAAAAGTTCGACATATTCTATATTTATTTTGAATAAAAAAGAGAGAAGAATTGGAAAAGCAGGGAATAAAGTAAACAGGCATGTAGTCAGTACTCTCAATTGTGAGGAAATGCAAAATATCAGACTGTTCATTCAAGAAATTAGAGGTATTAGCAAGGAATAAAGTAAACAGGCATGTAGTCAGTACTCTCAATTGTAAGGAAATGCAAAATATCAGACTGTTCATTCAAGAAATGAGAGGTATTAGCAAAGAATAAAATAAACAGGAACTCTGAAAACAATCTTAGTTGACACATTTATAAAATCAAAGAATGATACAGGGTGTCAACGAAGTCTCTACACTTAACACAGACTTTGTATTGTAATTGTGAAAAGAGTTTAAGGACACCCTGTGAGTACATAAGTTTATTCCCATCTTGCTGTAATCTAAATGTGCATATATGTGCTTAATTACCTGACATCGTTAATAATGGAGTTTCTGTCTCGTTTCTGGGCCAAGATTCTCATAGATTCTGCTTGGATCACAGCGAAGCTTCCATTCTTTAAACCCACTGCGATTAACTGTCCATCATGACTAAAGTGGGCGGATCTTGCTGCCCCGAGGTTTATCTTACTTAGCATATTCTACAATAAAATACAAGTGTTAATGTAGACCAGTGAGAAAGGGACATCTGGCTAATAAAAATGCTTTAATGTATTTAAAATATTTATACTATAACCCAAGGTTTATCTTACTAAGCATATTCTACAACGAGAACAACGGCAACGCCAAAGCGTAGCGAATCCCATCGAATAGCCATGAATGGCATTTTTACAAACAAAGGATATAGCAAAAATGGCAGCCATTTTTCAAAATGGCCGCCTTCTACCAAAAGTGTCATAAGACCATGTGCCATGCTTATAGTATTCACATACCAAATGTGAACAAAATCGCTCCACTACTTTTCAAGTTATAGAAAAATACGTTAAAATGGCGGCCATTTTTCAAAATGACCACCTTCTACCAATTAGACAGTGTGCCGTGCCTATAGTATTCACATACCAAATATAAACAAAATCGCTCCACTACTTTTCGAGTTATAGTAAAATACTTTAAAGTGGCTTAATAATGAAAAATGACCGCCTTCTACCAAAAGTGTCATTAGACAGTGTGCCATGCTTACAGTATTCACATACCAAATATGAACAAAATCGCTTCACTACTTTTCGAGTTATAGTAAAATATGTTAAAATGACGGCCATTTTTCAAATTTTTTTTAAAAATGGCCGCCTTCTACCAAAAGTGTCATAGGACAGTGTGTCATGCTTATAGTATTCACATATCAAATATGAACAAAATCGCTCCACTACTTTTCGAGTTATAGTAAAATACGTTAAAATGGCGGCCATTTTACAAAATGGTCGCCTTCTACTAAAAGTGTCTTTAGACAGTGTGCAATGTTTATAGTATTCACATACCAAATATGAACAAAATCGCTCCACTACTTTTCGAGTTACAGCAAAAATCGTAAAATAACAAGTAAAGACCGCCATTTTTCAAGATGGCTGCCATGTGCTTCTTAAATATCAACATTTCTAGCTTTATCAATGTCCTATATAATTTTTTTACATCTAAAACATATTGCTATTACAGTTTTACATATTGCACCTAAATTACTGTAAATTCGGCACTAAAATGGCCGCCATTTTGAAATGAGCGGCCATTTTGAAAATCGGCTTTTGAGCAGAACTTCTACTCCCATAGGGTATATGTGTACAAAATATGAACAAAATCGGACCAACGGTATTTGAGTTATTGCCCGGACGGCGGACGGACGGAGGCGTTCCCTATATCCCTCCGAACTTCGTTTGATGGGATTATAAAATACAAGTGTTAAGGTAGACCAGTGGGAATGAGATATCTGGCGAATAAAAATGCTTTAATGTATCAAAAATATTTATACTATAACCCAGTGAATAACAACATAAAAAAATTGTAAAATTGATCCTCCTTGATCCCTCCTCAAAAATCATATTCACCTGGTCAACCCTAGATTGGAATCATAATCATCTGGTTGCCCCAGTATATTATTTCCAAACCTCTATATTTTATATCTTACATGGGGGATATTATTTTAGGCAAAACTTTATCCTTTAATTTTAATTTTGTAGTTGTATGTATTTTGAGACAAGATTGCATTTTAGAAGCTACCTTGTTCACAATGTCCCAGACTCTTACAGTACCATCATCACTGGCAGTCACAAATCTAAAATAAAATGAAAAATATTATTGGTTCATTTATTTGCTCATTTTACATTTTCTCATCTGCTGATATCTTTCATTCATTTAAGTTATCCATATACAGTAAAACCTGTCTGGAACACCTTTGATACCTCTAGAAGTAAAAGTTGGAAGATGTTCCATTAATAGAGGTTAATTTAACATTAGTCAGTGGGTCTTGGGACTCTGAAAGCGTTCCACTAACAGAGTTGTTCCACTTATAGAGGTGCTCCACTTTACAGGTTTCAAAGTAATTGAAATCGTGATGTTCATTTATTATTTTGGAAAATATGTTGATAGTTTGCATATTATATTCAGCAATTTCCTTAATGTAAACCATTCATGTGAAATCATACATATGATTGAACAAAATGATTTAAAATGTATGACCCAACCTCTACTTACACAAGGAATAGTAAACATGACAAAATCTATCCTGTATGCAATTACAAAAGTGAAAAAATTTATTGTGGATGCAAAATTGCGATAACAATATGTCACCACACAGAATCATTTATTAAAGCTGAAAGTCTAACATAAGAAAATAACTCAAGCCCTTAAATACACATGACATCATCCCAACTTACCTCTCAAGTTGCGGGTGGACAGCCAGTCCCCACAGTTCTCCTTCGGCATGGCCGCAAGTTATCATTTGTGTCGAGCCTGACTTTTCATTCACTTCCAGAAATTCACTGTTTTTTGTACCTATTAAGATCTTCCCCTGGAACCATATGAATTTCGCTTTTTATAGACAATGTAATTCTAATTAATTAATCCTTCCTTTTTTATAAATAATGTAATTCTAATTAATTAATCCAAAGCAAAAGTGATGAGATCAATCTGGACAGGTAGTACTGGAAAATTCAATTGTACCAACATAACCAATTGAGAATAAAAGGAACACCTGTTTTTATTCATAGATTGCATATGTATTGGCTCACCATGTAAGGTTATTTGTCTTTAATTATTGGAAGATAATTCTTACCTTGCTACGTGCTACAGATTTTACAACATCCACTTCCTGTCCTGTATCTAGTTGAAATGCACGGCATCTCTTCATGTCTTGATCCCAGAGTTTCACTGGACCACCACCCCTAAAACAATACATTAGAATACATGTGTCTGAGTATTAGTCCAGGTCTCATGGCTTTACTTGACCCACACCCCTAAATTATATATCTGAGTAGCAATCTTTTCATGTCCTGGAATCATAAATGGACCCCCAACCCTAAATTATACATATGTACTGGTCTCATAGACCCTGAATTATAAATCTGAGTAACAGTCTCTTCATGTCCTGACCTCATAGATAAACTGGACCCCCTACCCTAAATTATACATCTGAGCAACAGTCTTTTCATGTCCTGGTCTCACAGCTTTACTTGTATAATCTGAGTAACAGTCTTTTCATGTCCTGGTCTCACGGCTTTACTTTATAATCTGAGTAACAGGCTTTTCCTGTCCTGGTCTCAGATTTACTGGACCGCTTACCCTAAATTATACATCTGAGTAACAGTTTTTTTCATGTCCTGGTCTCACACCTTCACTGATTCTCGTGACTAATGCAAAAGAGATTACCTCAAGCCTCAAGTGCCATTTGTATGTAAAAAATTCCCCATGATTTACCCAGATTTTAAAATCACATATGCTATGTTTTTTCTTTTGTTACAATGAACATTAATACCAAAAATGCCTGTAGCCACTGATGTTTGTGTTCACGCATTTCTTAGAAATATTACGAACTCACAATGGCGTGTATCTTTTTATTAGAATCAATATTTTTACTAATGAGGTGTATTTTCAAAATCTCAACTAAAATAACATTTGTGTCAAAATGAAAAATATTAATTCTTTATACAAATCAACAAGTACACAGCGGTGTGGCTATTCAAATCAATAGTTCATTATGAATTGTAGTTTTATACTTTAAATCTCAAATAAATAAGACATGTCCCCACCAATGGGCAATCATATATAATTTTTTCATCCTGAATGCCAAACACTTATCACCTGAAGAAACTTTTTTGAAAAATATTCAAAATGGCTGCTTTACACTTTACCAAAAATGCCAAAAGGCAGTTCTTTTGAAATTTTCATACAAAGAATCATTCCTGAAATTTGGCCTGGAGATGCATAGACAAGACTTTACAGACAAGATCTTAGGACGGAAAATCCAAAATGGTCACCTTAACATTTACCAAGAATGTCTAAAAATTAATCAGTTCTAGATTTTCATATAAAGAATCATCCCTGAAAATTTAAAATTGATCCGAAAAAACCATTTGCTTCAAAACGTGTAGACAGACAAGACTTTACAGACAAGATTTAAGAACAGAAAATCCAAAATGCCTTTATGGCCACCTTAACATTTACCCAGAATGCCCAAAACCTAATCAGTTTGAGATATGCATACTGAGAATCTTTCCTGAAATTTAATTAATACTTGATCTGTGAAACGGTTAGCCTGAAAACATGTAGACAAGACTTTACAGACAAGATCTTAGGACGGAAAATCCAAAATGGCCACCTTGACATTTACCCAGAATGCCCAAAACCTAATCAGTTTGAGATTTGCATACTATGAACTATTCCTGAAAAATTTTAATTGATCTGTGAAACGATTCACCTGGAATGGTAACCATATTTTACCGAAAAATAATACATCACTTAACACTTACAATTTTAATAGGCAACTAAGAAAACAATCAAATACACGTCTCTTATACCCAAAGAACCCTTCCCATAATGCAACAAGTCCTATTTACCCAAAATGCAACATTAAAAACTCACTGTTTTTCTTTGCCGCCTGTAACAATGAGCCCATCCCTGAGTGTTGTATACATGGAGAAAACTGGACCATTGTGAGCCTTTTTCACTATTCTTACAAGTGATGTGTTTTTCCATACATAAACATCACCATTCATTGCACCAGTATATGTCATATTATTCTGAAAAGTAAAATAAATTTTTAACAACATGCAATAGAGAGCATGGTCTGCTAATAATATGACTACTGGAGAGAATTACTTTCAGCACCAAATGCAAGAGAGAGAATTACTTACAGCACCAAGGGCAATAGAGAGCTTAGTCTGCTAATAATATGACTACTGGAGAGAATTACTTACAGCACCAAATGCAATAGAGAGAATTACTTACAGCACCAAATGCAATTGAGAGCTTAGTCTGCTAATAATATGACTACTGGAGAGAATTACTTACAGCACCAAATGCAATTGAGAGCTTAGTCTGCTAATAATAATATGTCTACTAGAGAGAATTACTTTCAGCACCAAATGCAATGGAGAGAATTACTTACAGCACCAAATGCAATAGAGAGCTTAGTCTGCTAATAAGATGACTACTGGAGAGAATTACTTACAGCACCAAATGCAATAGAGAGAATTACTTACAGCACCAAATTCAATTGAGAGCTTAGTCTGCTAATAATATGACTACTGGAGAGAATTACTTACAGCACCAAATGCAATTGCGAGCTTAGTCTGCTAATAATATGACTACTGGAGAGAATAACTCACAGCATCAAATGCAATTGAGAGCATCGTCTGCTAATAATATGACTACTGGAGAGAATTACTTACAGCACCAAATGCAATAGAGAGCATGGTCTGCTAATAAAATGACTACTGGAGAGAATTACTTACAGCACCAAATGCTATAGAGGGCATTGTCTGCTAATAATATGACTACTGGAGACAATTACTTACAGCACCAAATGCAATTGAGAGCATGGTCTGCTAATAATATGACTACTGGAGACAATTACTTACAGCACCAAATGCTATAGAGAGCATTGTCTGCTAATAATATGACTACTGGAGACAATTACTTACAGCACCAAATGCTATAGAGAGCATTGTCTGCTAATAATATGACTACTGGAGACAATTACTTACAGCACCAAATGCTATAGAGAGCATTGTCTGCTAATAATATGACTACTGGAGACAATTACTTACAGCACCAAATGCTATAGAGAGCATTGTTTGCTAATAATATGACTACTGGAGACAATTACTTACAGCACCAAATGCTATAGAGAGCATTGTCTGCTAATAATATGACTACTGGAGATAATTACTTACAGCAACAAATGCAATTGAGAGCTTAGTCTGCTAATAATATAACTACTGGAGAGAATAACTCACAGCACCAAATGCTATAGAGAGCATTGTCTGCTAATAATATGACTACTGGAGACAATTACTTACAGCACCAAATGCTATAGAGAGCATTGTCCGCTAATAATATGACTACTGGAGACAATTACTTACAGCACCAAATGCTATAGAGAGCATTGTCTGCTAATAATATGACTACTGGAGATAATTACTTACAGCAACAAATGCAATTGAGAGCTTAGTCTGCTAATAATATAACTACTGGAGAGAATAACTCACAGCACCAAATGCAATTGAGAGCATAGTCTGCAAATAATGACTACTGGAGAGAATTACTTACAGCAACAAATGCAATAGAGAATTACTTACAGCAACAAATGCAATTGAGAGCTTAGTCTGCTAATAATGACTACTGGAGAGAATTACTTACAGCAACAAATGCAATAGAGAATTACTTACAGCACCAAATGCAAGAAAGACCATAGGGATGTCATTACAAGCCGGATAACGGAGAATTCTCCGGCTTTCAGACGAAAATCTCCGGCTTTCAATTTAGTTAAACATATCCATTGAAAGAATATAAATTGGCCTACCTTGTGAAGACAAAATCTAAGTATAATAGGCAGATAATTAGCAGTGTTTTAGAGAAACACTGAGATAATTATCTTACTGTAATCCGGCCACCATTTTGATTGACCTCTCAACCCAAAACGTCATTGCTTTGAGATTAAAGTAACTTTCAATGATTTCATCTAAAAATTAAAACCCTTGGAAATACTAAATATGGTTTAAGTGCCATATATAATATTTATTTCAGAAATATTGTGGATCAAATTGAAAAAAAATAAAAACGTATTCCACCTATGGGATTTGAACCCAGGTCTTTTGGAATAAAAGCCTGGTTGAGTCCAAAGCTCTAACCACTACACCAAAGTGCCAAAGCTTCCTGAGGGAAGAAATTCTTAATCTATATAATCATGGACGAAAAAAGTGTCATTTTTATGCTTAAAATTCTTAAAAATGATCAGCATTACTACTAATAACAACATTTTGCATGTCTGAGTAAGTATTATGATCTACATTTAGGATAAATGTTGTTTTATTCAGTTTTCATTTTGGGTATGAATTCCTGTCAAAACAGTGTTAAAAATGCAGGGCTCAACAAAAATTTTCAATTAGAAAATGATATATATCCTTTGATCAGCTGTTTTTGGCACCTGAACTCATCCTACTAGAAAGGTAAGAGCATTTTCTTGGGACATATGGCTCGAAATCTCAAATTTCTCCTTCTAAGTCTTAGAAAGACACTTTAATGGGTCAGTAGCAAAAAACCTTTATCACTGTCCTGCCATCTTTCAATGGATATTATTATTAACAATTTCACATAAACTTGAAAACAAACTGTTTAATTAATACAATTGATCTTCTTGGCATTATCTTACATCATAGTGAAGAAGCACAAAGGGCAACATTTGAAAACAAATAAAATATTACAAGTCAAAAATACATATCAAACTATTGAATGTTGATCCTTATATTTCATTGAGATTGATAATGTGTCAGAAAGGAATATTGAGTTTATTAAACATCAGAGTGAGGAGGAACAAGGGGCAACATTGAAAAACAAAGTAATTAAGAATTAAGAAAAAATTAATTACAATAAATTATGTATTGATCTGCTTTATTGAGATCAATTGCTCATATACAGTTTGATATTAGTGACAGGAAAATACTGATTTTATCTTATGGTTAAATGTTTTCAGAAAAAAGTTCAAAAATCTGCATAATTTATCTGAAAAAATAAAAATAAAGTTTTCTAACAACACAGTTTTTTCTTATTTTTCTTATTGTTTATATAAATATTATTATTGGAAATTTTGTGCTGAGATATACTCAGAGTGCACCAGAGAGGTTAAATTTCAAAATTTTCTGGGGGGGGCATGCCCCCAGACCCCTCTAGTTTGCGCCGCACGCCAGTAGTGCGGCGCAACGCGCTTCGCGCAGCCACCTTCCATTATTGCTCCTCCTTTATATGCCACTGATCCTTCTTTCAGGAATTCTAATGACATCCCTGATAGTCTGCAAATAATATGACTAAGAGAGAGAATTAGGTACAGCACCAAATGCAAGAGAGAATTACTTACAGCACCAAATGCAAGAGAGAATTACTTACAGCGCCAAATGCAAGAGAAAATTACTTACAGCACCAAATGCAATTGAGAGCATAGTCTGCATCTTGACTTCCTCATCTCCTTCTCCAACATTTGCCAATAAACCCTTCTTGCCAATTAGTTCTCCACCTGATATGATAAAAATAAAATTATATGAATGGTATTCAAATATATTGAACATTGACTGTGCCGATGTATAAGTTTGTTCATTGCTCCACTTGAAAAATAATTATATGATACATGTAACATAGTTGCAGAAGAAAACTGAGATGCAATGCATAATAATGTTACATATCTTAGATTAAAAAGAAACGAAATGCAACAAGTAGGTAACAAAAATATATACAATGTAACCCTAAAACGTAACAAATCTTTATATGTTACAATTTTCAATAGTTTTGCCTGCTCTTCTCACTCATTTTTAAGGTTATATTTTATTTAATAATGCAATTATAATACAATGTCCGACAATGGGCCACCCGGCCAAGGCCATTGGCATTAGTGGTTCTTGCTCATTTTGGTTTTTGTCAGAAATTCCAATAAAATTCCCTTTACTTCCAGTTACTTCTTACCCGCGATAGTCCAAAATTTCACATGTTTGACCCCCACTGTAACAAAGGCACTGTCAGAATCTGGTCTAAACTCGGCATGGAAGATCCGACTTGTGTGACCCGCTGCACTACACACCTTTGAGCCTGGAAGTAGAACATAATTCATGGCATGAGATAATATCCAAACATCTAAATATTGGCGATTGCACATAATTATCACTTATACTAATCAAAGACCTGGAGTCAAGTAAGTACAGTAAAACCTGGCTATAATCTGGGCTGGCCAAAAAGTGTTTGGATTAGCAGGTGTTCACATTTTATGGTTTTATAAACATGTAACATACATCCTTCACAGAGTAGAGGTCTATGGCCACAAGGTATTAGCCTATAAACATGATATGGTATTTGCACTACTGTAGATTGGGTTAATTTGGCGCTACTTAATTTGGCGATTTTGCCATTTTTGGCATATTGGCGGCTATTTAATTTGGCGGATATGCAAGAAAATTAACTTACGCACTGTTTGCGAATTACCATGTAAATGGATAAGTTTGGCTATGTCCATTTTTCTTTTGAGGACCACTGGCGATCATCCTTTACATTTTGCACCTCGATCGATGCTGCTACTATACCACGCTTTTCCTTTCTAGTTTTTCCCTGAATATTAATGAGTGACTGGCCAGTTCTGAGCCAATTTATGAGAGACATTTTTCATATTTTTGAAAGAAACTAAACCGGAAGTGACCTAAATACACTGGAGGAAATACTCTAGATAATTCCAGGGGATTCATTTTAAATTTTGGCGAAGATTTATATTGGCGAATATTTCAATTTCGCCAAATTCGCCAAATTAAAGCGGGCGCCAAATTAACCCAATCTACAGTATCATAAAAACATATTTCTGGAAAATAGCCATCTTGAAAATTCCTTCTTGGGTAGCGTCCTACACCTGAATGGTGCCAGCAAATGAAATCTGACAACTAGTATCTGAGTTATCAAATATTGTACTTTCTTCATTAAATGACAGCCATTTTGAATTCAGTGGCCATTTTGAATTCAGTAGCCATTTTGAAATTCCTTCTTGAGCAAAGTCCTATAAACAGCATCCGATTATACAGATCTGTTAACTTTTAAGTGTGTTTTCAAAGATAACAGATTTTTTATAAAAATGGTAGCAATTTTGAATTCAGTTGCAATCTTAATTTTTTTTTTCTTGAGCAGAGTCACTTGCCGTAAAGGCATCAACAAACAAAATTTCTTAGAAATCCATCAACTGGTATTTGTCAAAGGTAAAATCTTTACAAAAATTGCAGCCATTTTGAATTCAATAGCAATCTTGAATTTTTTCAGAGTTTCTATGGATCAGCATATAAAATTTGAACCAAACCTGTCAAGAACTGGTATTTGAGTTACCAAAGATAACATTTTTAAAGAATGATGGCCATTTTGAATTTAAAGCAGCCATATTGAAAATGATGGATGGCTTCTCTATATGTTTATTGAACTTCGTTAAGTGGGACAATTATAATAAACTAATTCTTTTGATTGATTCATTCAAACTTGATTATAGGCACATTGTAACATACAGCTGACAAAATGGTTTAAAATTTTTTTTCATGCTCTTGAGTCGATTTCATAGTTTAAAACCTTCTCTGATGATTCTATTTTCGAACTACATGTATGCATGCAGGTCCATTCAAAGTTGTCTATTGAACCTTGAAAAGCCATATTTAGACTGAGGATTGAAAGATGTTCACGACATATTTCAGCTCATCTCTATTACGATTGACCGAAAGTGAATTTTTGAGTCAAGTAAATGGTGATATTGTTGTTTTTATGAAGCGGGAAAGTCAAAACATTACAAATGGTAATCATAATAAGCATTTGAAGTTCATTAAGAATTAAAACGAATCCACAGCAAAATTTGAAATAATTAAAATATTCCACACAGACCTCAGAGAAAACACTTCCAGTTTTATAATCCATGATTTTATCGATCAAATAATATTTTTATGATTTTTTTCGATATCTGTTGAAATATGGTATGTATACTTGTGTTAATTGTTAAATTACAAATAGGTAGGGTAAAGAATATGTCAAAGTTGGTTGATCTTGTCCCAGAAGCAATGTTTTGTTATTTTTATCGCATAGAATTCCTTTAACCTTCAATTTAGATTCCTCTTTCAAAGTTATTCTAGAATTAGAGGTAACTTTTTTGTGTCACCCTGTATTAAACATACTGATACCAACTATCTCTTTGCATCATCTTCTTAGCAGTTTTTTATTATAGACGGCTTATTAGTACAAAACCATGAGTTAACAATATTTAATTCATTGTTAAGTAATCTCATCAGCCCACTAAGATTTTGATAGGAGTTACATAGTTAACATAGTAAATGTCATGAACATATAAACAAATCCCATCAATCTGGACTTCATGTTAAGTTTATTATTATCAATACATATACACGGATAATAACAAATTATAGTAGCATGGCTAGGCAGTGATCTCCACAGGATTTTTTCTGAAGTGGGTGCAAAATTCACATTTTCACAATTCAGACCAAAATTGGTCAAAATATGCCTATTTTTCTTGATTTTTCTCATTGTCAAGAGGGTGCAGATGGATTTTCAGGTGGGAGGTTCACATGGTGAAGGTACACTCAAAAGATTGATTGAAATCCTGATTTTTTTATAAATTTAGCAGCTTGTACAATTTCAAACAAATCAATGTTATACTTTTAAAATAGCATAAAATGATATATTCTGATTATAAAAGTGGAAGCCTTTTTAAATCCCTGTGGTGACATGTTTTGTTGAAACTTGTAAACATTATTGTTAACTTTAAATATAAGATAACTGTACAATTTTAAGGAAATTGATTGAATACTTTTGTAGTTATGACCAAAAAGAGCTGAAAACATGATTTTTGGCAATTTAAGTAGCGACCATTTTAACATTTTATGATTTTCTAGACATTATTGTTTACCTATACACCTATTAGCTGTCTGTATAATTTCAAGCAAATTGATGCAAGACATAAAAACTTCTTTTAGCTTCTGGTTTACTTGTATAATATTTGAATATTCTGGCTGAACAGGAAAATAAAGGCCGCATCAAGTGGCATTTTTTACACAAGGCATTCAGATGACAAGATGTCACCACCTAGTTGCTCAGTCATATTACTAATATTATGAGTACAAATCTTAAGTCAGATTCGAACTTCTGAGAGCTTGTACATGATTTTGAAAAAATGGTCTATTTGAAGCAAGTTGAAAAAATACCTTTTTGACCTTTTTTAAATTGAGAAGGTCATTTTACTGAGGTTGAATATCAAATCTACCTTTTATAACTACACTTTAGAGGAGCCAATGTGCCAAACCTATTTCCTAAATTATGAGAAGTATATCATCGCACATACATCGCTCCATCGCACAACGGTCAAAAAATTTAAATATTATTTTTAAGAAAAAATTAAAGACCAAATACGTACATCCAGATCTCATTAATATCTTCAGACTTATGCTGAAAACATATGTAATTGCATGGAGTAAGTAATTTTCTTTGGTTACGAAACATATGAGTGAAAAAATAAATTGTGAAGTTTACTTTAGTGTTTTTATGAAAAATAGCATGCTCTGTCACAGCGGACAAATCTTTCGATCCGATCCCATGATTAATAAAATCCTCTTTTTCATGAGATTTTAAGAGATGTACATATGAGCCTCCAATGACCTATATTTTTCTTTCTTTTTAATAGAATATTTTAATTCAGTTTTCGACAATAATAACGTTGATTGATACATTGTTATTTGAATCATTTTCCATGATTTCTTTATCACAATATTTACATTGATAGGGTCATCCATTAGTATGCCATTCAAGTTTTTAGAGAGATTCAATCAACACCTTTTGAAAAATCATGTTTAGTAACTTTTGCAAGTTTATACCACTGAAGTCTATGGCAGTCTGGCCCAACCGAAACAAATAAAAACATGTGGTGACATCTATTTATTCAGTTTTATTCAGCAATATAGCAACTCCCTTATTAGATTGTATTAAAGCATTTCATTTCTTGGTTGAATAGCAGTTGAATAAGGGCTTGAAGGGAGATCAAAACAAAAAAAACTTAATATAAGCTGATTATACCAAACAATATGAGAAAAAATGAGACCAATATATATATATAATATAATCAATGGCATGTATCGAATCAGCCATCAGCTTATGAGTGACTTAAAAGATATAGAGCCTGGCGAGATAAGTTAAAAACAAGCCACCAAGCTAAAACAAGAGTCATTCCATATATCACATACTTTCATGACCATTACTGTTGTATAGGTCCTGACTTAAGAGTGACTATAGGCTATAAATGTGTCTTCTACGTCAGGTTTTAAAAATACATGATATACATTATATAAGTTTTAAACTTGAACTCAAACATGGCAGGACTAAAGGGGAGATATATAGCCATTATTTGTTTACTATTCATGTTTTTGATTGGCTCTTTGTGGCACTATGGTCAAAACTCGAAAAGATACCTTGGTACAAAAAATCAAGTCCCACAGGACAGTGCAAGAGAACATACTGTAAATAAGAAGGACAAGGCAGAAGATGAAGCCAACAATGCAGATGAAGCCAGCCATGTAAAAGATGAAGCCGGCAATGTAAAAGATGAAGCCGGCAATGTAAAAGATGAAGCCGGCCATGTAAAAGATGAAGCCGGCCATGTAAAAGATGAAGCCGGCCATACAGTTTCTTACAAACAACTGAATATTGAAAAACTTGAACCAGAGTTCCATTTCAGGAAAAACTTCTACTTGGGCAAAACAAAAGATGTAGAGAATAAAGATCACCTGTTGAAGTATTTATTAGGAAGGTAAGACTTGTTCTTGGTTCTTATATACATGATATGTGCAACTTGTATTTTTCTTTCATATATGTACAATCATACTATAGACCATATCATCACATCTTTGAAAAATGTTTCCCTTATTCAACATTATGGTAATAAAACTAATTTTTTCTAATGTCTTCTCATACAAAAGAATGTATAATATATTCTGAATTTGTTTTTTGTACATTAATTTATGAATAAATTAATTTGAATTAACCTTCATGAATTCTAAATCAGGGGGCCGTTCTTGTACCCTTCGTAGTAACGAATGTTCGCAATTCGTAAATTTATTAATACATGTAGTCGTAAATAATTTAAAAGTTAGGAATGAGTTATGAATTCATAAATTTGCGAATGGACCATTTCTGTACACATTAGTAAGTCATTCATAATTTTTCAATTGTGTAGAGGTAAGTTTATGAATGAGTTGATGTCATATTACACCGTTGTCAGGACAGGTACTCTAGATAGTACAACAAACAAGTTTTAATAAAATTAAAGTTGTTTGATAAGTTGTAAAAAGATAAAGATTGAAGCAAAAATAGAAATAAGTTGATAATGATTTGATGTGTTGCCTATAGGCTTTCTCTGATTAAGAAATGACAAAATGTCATAAAATACAATAATTTAGAAGCCGTTCGCAAAGTTACAAAAAGGTCAGAGGTGCTATTAAATCTGCGAACGAAAGCAGGCATGACGTCACTATTTTCATAACTTTACGAATTGTTCGTAACTTTACGGATCTTACAGAAATGCAACTTTATGAAATTCACAAATTTAACAATGGACTTACGAACATTCGTTACTATGAACGGTATAAGAACGGGCCCCAAGAGACTATTCTGTATCTGACTGAATGACCAAAAGTCAGTCTACCTCACATCCTACTCTGTGAAAAAATCACAATAAAAAAGTAGAGCCACAAATTACATATATCAAAACCCCTACAAACCCTCCAGATGAAAAGGGAGAAGAGCTAAAAATTGTTCCAGAAATGGTTTTGAGGTCATTTTAAATAAAATTCCACAAAAATACCAGTTTTACTGTTAAGGATTAGAATCTAGGGGTCAATCAAATTTTCTTTTTTCTTATTCTTAATGGTGGTCAACAGTGCAAAATTGAGTAACATGCATCTTTTGACCATGAATCTAGGAAAAAGTAATCAATTAGGAAGATGTACAGTAAAACCTGTCTTAATGAACACCTCTCTCTCTAGTGAATATACTTTATACTTTTGATAAATGATGATAAATAATTTTTTGAAACCACATTTCTAGATGTAATGGTATTTGTAGATTTCAAAAATGATATCACTTTGACTTAATTTTGAATACTCAACTTATTCAGCTGATTATTTCTACTTGCATTTAGTCTATGTATCAAATGTAACACATAAATATCCCGTCATATCCTGTGAAGTCATGCTTCTTTGATAAAAAATTTAATTTCTTATATTTGCAGGTATGTCAACTGCTCAACATATTCCCGGCAAATTCTGATTGATTTAGGAGCAAAAACATTTGAATCCAGTGTGGGGTGGTTTATTGAAAATTATCCTTGTAATTTCACAGAGATCCATGCATTCGAGGTGCGAAAAAATATATTCACCATACCAGAAAAAGAAAAGGCAAGAGTGAAATTATACGAGTCATTCATAGGGACAGTTTCTTCCTCAAGTGAGACAGATATCGCTGACCTTATTGTGAATATGTTGAATGTGAAATCAAGCGACTTCTTAGTTATCAAAATGGATATAGAGGGCGCTGAATACAAGGTCATTGACCACATGCGGAGTAAAGGTTTATGGCCCCTGATTGATGAAATCTTTGTAGAGATTCACTATAAACATCCATACATGGGAAGATTTGGTTGGGATAAGTTTAAAGAGTACACAATAGAAGATGCCACAAATTTATTCGTAGAACTGAGAAGCAATGGTGTTTGTGCCCACCCCTGGCCATGATGGAATGAGTGCTAAAAGGTTTGAAAAAATTGGAAAATACACATTTTTCAAAAAAGCTGACTTTCAAAACAATGTTGCTCTTTTAATATTCTATTTTTACTATATGTCCTGGTTATAGAAAGAACTTCATGTATTGACTTTTCTCAACATGTGACATGTAAATGTTATAGTAAGTTACTTATAAATGTGCAATCAAAGTCAGGAAATATTTTAAGTGATAATATAATTATGATATTTCCATATAGTTATTTAGAAGAATTATCATAATTCAAAACTGTCACCAATGTGTTTTTAACGTTGGCAGTCAATGAACTGTATTTAAATGTAATAAACTGAAATTAAGAGAAAAAAAATTTCTCCAGGCCCTCACAGAGAACATTATCCTAGCATTTGTCAAAATGGCTGAAATAAAGGAAAATTTGGTAAATTTACATACTAAAACCACACTTTGGAGTATTTTACTTTTTCTTGCACTCACACAAACACTCAATGGTTTATACTCCACAGATTCAAAATTAAAAATTATAAGGCACAGAGTCAAAATCATAACTAAAAATGGTCATCTTAAGACTATTACACAGTGCTGTAAAACTAGAGTGTGTGTGGGGGGGGTTGTCAGCTGAAATAATGGACATTTAGTAATTATAACGTTCTTATGCTCAATTTTGGTACTCACCATCTTGCCATCTCCAAACCGCAAGTGAATGATCATCGTCGATCCCGACAGTAAGAAGCAGCTTTCCGCCACATGAGAAATCAACGCAACATACTCCTTTTTTATGGAAACCTCTAATGACTGACAGGGTCTCTTTAGTGGAAGCATCCCATATATTCACCTCAGGGGTGGAGCCTATCTGGCCAGTTGCTACGACATTTCTAAATTTTGGATGTTGATTGACAGCTAAGCATATGATGTCATCAGTGTGCTCTAAGTAGAAACTCTGGTGAGCTGGAAAATAAAAGGAAAATATTAAGTTGTTTAAGAATATGAGTATATGGAGCTTTATCCTATAACAAGTGGAGCTTCAGGTATGAAACAGATACAGAATTGATATCTAGGGGAATCATCATATATATATGAATAACCAAATGGGTATTTCTCACAATTATATTTGTTGGAAAACAGTTTTTGTTCATTGTAATAACTGCCAAATATAAATAATAGAGTTAAAAGAAATATACATTCATTTACATGTTGATGTCTTATACTGAACAATAACAAAATATTTCATTTCAGAAAACTGTGAGAGACTCCTCATTTCATAACACAAACAAGTCATTTATGCAAAATGTTACCACCTGCCATTTGTTACAGACCCGACCATCAACCCCGCCAACTGTCAAACACCATCCACAAAAGTTGGAGATTATAACAATATGTCACCACTTGTTGTGGTGAGATGACAAACAAGGCACTAGCATGCAAAATATTTCACATAACCAGCTTCATAGGATGGGACCTGGGGTCTATTTTTCTAAAATTAGTAAAGTAACTAATTAGTAACTTTACCTATTTAGTAAGTTTTAAAAAGTTACTAAAAAGTTACAAAATCGCAAATTGTATTCTACTTTTTAGTACCTCTGGAGGTTCTAGAAAAGTTGAGATAGAAATCGCAGATGACGTCATTATTTAGTAACTTTGCGAAAAAAAATTACTAATCTTCGTAAAGTTACTAATTTTCGAGAAATGCAAGTTGTTAATAAGTCCCAGCAACAACAATAGACTTACTTATTCGTAACTTTACTAACTTTGGAGAAATAGACCCCTGGATAGTAAATGTGGAAGGCCTTACCTGAAGAAAGGTTCTGCACGATTCCAGCGCCAGCTGCATGATAAATGATGTCAGTGCCGTCATTCAGGTAGAACAGATTACGACGGCAGTCAAACCCACGGTAGCCAAATATATAATCTAACTGGAGATCCTATAAGAGATTCATGAGGTTTCATGAGATTCAGTTATAAATAATGATTGCTTTAAGCTATTCAACAATAAAATAAATAAATATATAAATATTAACAAGGCATTAACATGCAAAATGTTACCACCTGCCATTTGTTACAGATGCAGAAAGCCAAACAGATTGTCAACCTGAACATTAAACGCTTTCTCTATATCCCGCAGAATTTTGTTTGATTTCCAGAGTTAAAACATATACAGGGTGGTCCAAAAAAAAGAGAACCCCTGCAACTGGCCGTATTTCCCTTATTACTTGCAGGAATTATTTTTTATTTTCACATGTTGTAGAGGAAGGTCTAAAATTTATGTTGGTACCATACATTTTTCTTAGTCTTGAAATTTGCAGAAATCATAAGCCCCAACCAAACATTACTGAAAATGGACAAATTGTGATTTTCAATATCCGCGATTCTTCAACCCTTTAACACCTTTCCCCTGAGAATTTTTTAAGCTGCAGTCTTAAAGAACTAATATTTTCTGACTTTGTTCAATTTTAAATCTTGCATATTATGGCTTAAAACTAGCATCCTACATTTGTTAGTTGCAAAGTTATTGTGATCCAAAGAGATGTGCTAAGCTTCCACAGATGAAAACATTTCCAGTGAAATCATGAACATACCCCTATATGATCTTGAAATGTCAATATCTTCATAAATCATGGACCAATTCTAATGATATATGGCTCAAAACATTGAATATTGGATTTTCTTTTGATTCTTTAAAGATATTTAATGAAGAGGTTATCAGATTCCTGGTCACAGGGGGCAACTTCCTTCCATAAGAAGCCCCCCTCTAACTGTTGGTGTAGGTAACATACCCCTGAACTGTTGAACAGTTAAAAATGCTTCAAAATGATCAATGAAAGTGTGAAATGTGTTTTCTGCTTGAATAGTGTCCCTTTTGTCATATGGTAGGGTTTTAAACTTGTATCTCTAACTGAAAGCTGTTTAACATCATCCAATGTGTTTCAACAATTTCCGTGAATCACATTTGTAAAATTTTGTACAATATCTAATTTCCAGGCATGTTTGTTAAATGCTTGTAATTTTTTCAAAATTTAAGACTGAGAATAAATTATGGCATCAACCAGAATTTTAGACCTTTCTCTACAACATGTGATAATATGAGCCAATTCATGCATGTATTAAGAAATTTGTAGCCTGTTGCAGGGGTTCACTTTTTTTTGGACCACCCTGTAAATATACCCCTACCTGAACCTGTTGAATTTTTCTCTTGGATGGTTTTCCAGTACTTGAGAGGGCAGGGTCTGCCTTCTTTACTCTTGGAGGCTGTGGAGCATTCCTCGTCACACTTGGCCTAACAATAACAAGTAAATATTTATTTGTCACACTTTTGCACAAAATTGAAGTGACATATAATATGTTTGAATTGTAGAGAATAAAGATAAAATGCTGAATTATTTAAAGATGCTTCACAATGTTAATTGGGATGAAATATTACTAAGTTGCAACAAAATTTTAAAATTCTGACCAAGTATAAGATCTGACATTATAATCAAATATGACAAAATTTTAGTAGGTTGTACAAAAATTCAAGATCTGACCTGATATAGGTGACTAAATGTTAGTAAATTGTGACAAATTGTTAGTAAGTTGTGACAAAATGTTAGTAAATTGTGACAAAACTCAAGTTCTGATCAGATATTAGTTGTGACAAAATATTAGTTGTGACAAACCTTTTGTTAGATCTAGTAAAAGGAATATTCTGGAATCGCCTTCCAGGAACAAACATTCTAAAATATGTACAACATCAGTAAAGAGCATGTCAAAGAAATAAAAATAGATTTGTCCATAAGGATATCTGGCAATAGAACATGTTAATTTTGCATGAAGAGTCCTTCATGGGTTTTTCAATTTCAATCACCTTATTAGGCTTATTTTTGGATTTTCAAACATAAATCGTGATTGAAAATGTTCATTTCCCTAACTGGCAGATATCTTCAAATCTAGGAAATAATGTCAGAAGCTGGGTCAAAAGGGTCACTTATGATGTCTTTTTTTGCAGAAGAAAATGTTATCAAAAATACGACTCCATAGCTCCATTTTTTGTTAAAGCTTATTGCATGGATGATCATGGAGTAACACAATTTTGCAAAAATGACATTTTGATATCCAAGACCCAGCTCCCCACAGGCTCAAAATGGAAATTTACATATTTCTTTGAAGTTCCTTCCAGGGGGCTTAATATGTTCACCTATTTATGAAATTTCCATCTTGAACTCAGAAGTTAGTCTGGAAGCAACAAACAAAGATACAGGAGTCCAATAAAATACAGAAACTACAGTAAAACATGTTAAGTTGAAAGCCCAGAACACCTTAAGGTCCACAAATTGTTCCACTTGAATACAGAGGTGTTCCACTTGAGTACAAAGGTGTTCCACTTGAATACAAAGGTGTTCCACTTGAATACAGAGGCATTGCACTTGAATACAGAGGTGTTCCACTTGAGTAAAAAGGTGTTCCACTTGAGTACAAAGGTGTTCCACTTGAATACAAATGTGTTCCACTTGAGTACAAAGGTTTTCCACTTGACAGTTGTTACTGTATGCTTGTATGCTTCTTTGGTTGGTTGAGAAAATTGAATCATGCAGATTAGAAATACAAGAAACCAAAAACTAATTTCAAAAAACTACTTCAAATATGCAATGTCTCTAACAGCAAAGATAACATTTAATTACTAAATAAGCGTGAATCAATTTTTTAATCTTTATAATAAGTGAGAGGTGGATACAAACATAAGCTGTGACTAGAAGTTAGTTAGTTAGTTAGGACATTTGCAGCAAAATGTAAGTTGTGAGAAGATTAATAAGATGGTAGAGAAACAAGGAAATATTCTAAAATCTAGTAATGCAATGGTCAATATATCCATAGGACAAAAAAGTGAACAGAGATCTAGTCAAAAAAACTAGTCAAAAGAAAACTAAGAGAGAACCAACAAAAGTTATCACTTACTTGTCAAGGTCGTCATCATAATCCTGAAGATGAGGTTTAACGCCCGTGTTTTCACGGATTGACTTTGTGTATGTTTTAGTGGAGTAGTCCATGTTCTTCTCCCTAGCAACGTCACTGTCATAACCTATATAATGAAAACAAAAATGACTTGTGATAACACAGTCATATCTGGATGAACATGAAATACTATTCATAATGCTAATATCTTCAAAAGATAATAGGTCGAAACTTATTGGGGATTAATTCGTTGGCAATAGGAATAAAACTGCATCTGAAGTTTTAGAAGTATCATACAGATTGAGGTGTAATTATGTTGATGCAAATTACATATCATCTTGTACATGCTTTGTTATTTTATGATTGAGAAGCGAAAGAGCTATGAAGTTTCAGAGATTTTGAAACTAGGCAGAAGGCAAAAATATAATGAATAAGAGACAATTTTTGTCGAAGTTGCTTTCAATGTTTGATAATACCACATTAACAAATTAACCGTTAAACCTGAATCTGAACACCTTTCTAATCTTAATCTCTCTAAAAACCTTCAAATGTGAACACCTGCAATCTATACACTCTTGCCTGGCCAAGTCATTCAGATTTGAAAGGTTTCACTGTAATTTTCATTATACATTTCTTTTAATGACAGGAAAATAGGTATAAATTGTGTGTACCTCCTTCCTCTTCAGAGTCTGTATCACTGTCATCACTGTCTCCCTGTCCCCCAGAGACATCACCTGCACCCCCATGGGACCACACCATGACGGAAGTATCATCACCACCGCACGACACCAGGTAACGATCATCATGACTCCAACGTACATTAGTAACATGGGCACTGTGACCTACATATTTCTTGTGCTTTGCAAACTTGCCCTAAATGCATAAATTGTTTCATTGTTTAGACATGAATCAGCCAAAATTTGGTTATATTTTATAAACTTTTGGAACTCGGCATATTACATTATGTTTTTTTCAGAACTAAATGTTAAAATATCTAATGTTAAGAAACATCTATGTTATGTTTTAATGATATAAATAACTAAATACGAAAAGTACAAATTACACACGAAATAATTTTTGTTTCTACATTAAAAATATATCTATTTGAACTTTTCTCTTTGAGCAGTATGAGTAAAAACCCACCTTTACTGGGTAATCAAACACTTTCACAAAACCAAAATCATCGCCAGTTGCGAGCAATGAACGATCACTCGACAACGAAGCTGCATTTACATCCGTGACGTCACTACATGGGGGCCAGATCCCTTCAGAGGTGTGGCCGAGGACCCCCGTCCAGGAGGCCCAAGATTGACTTTCAATTTGTGCATTTTTCATTGTTTGTCGATGGCCCCTAGGGGCTTCAAAGAATAGTTGTTCTTTTGCCCCAGAATTGCTGACTATCAGTTTCCCTATTACAGAAAAGAAGGATATATTTTACTAAAACATTCACTTATCACATTTTCATTGAAATATACAATTATACTTCTTGTACAGTAAAATGGTTCTATTGCTTGTTTTTTTTACTTTATTTTTATTGATAATGATGTTATTCTTACAGTTTCATGCTAATTTTCAAAAACTTCTTACAAATCTGTATACATACATCGTTGCCATTAGTATGACTTGATAATACACAAACATAAGCTAATAATACCCTAGTTTCTTTCATTCAACAAAAGGGGTCAGGAATTTAAAAGGTGAATTTTACAAACCTCTAGCGTCCCAGTCTATATGAGTGACATAACTTGAGTGTCCTTTACATATGCCGACACGTTTGCTGCTTAGTACATTGTAAATGTCTATGAAGTTGTCATGCGATGCAACAGCCAAATATTTACCAGGATCTGGAATATGAAAAAAAGTCCAAGCAAAATGTCACCACCTGTCATTTGTTACAAATATTGAATCGTTTCAGAAAAGCAAAAACCTATTTCCAAATCAACTTAAAGAATCATACATTGGCATGCTAGGATTTAGATGTCAAAAAATTGAAAAATATTATTTAAATGTGATTACCTGGTGAGAATCTTATATCTTGTATTTCTTGTTTACGTTGATGAAAAGCGACGATATCTTCCAAAGTGTCCCCATTGACAACTACAAAGCTGCCATCTTTATGACCAATTGCGATAGCTTTGCCATCGGGAGAATAACAGACGCAGCGAGCTGGTTTTTTGAGGATTTTACAATTGAGCATCCGATGTTCTCGAAGATCCCATATTCTGAGGGTTTTGTCGTCACTGACCGTGGCACATTGTGGCTCTGAAGGGTGGGTGGCGAGACCCCAGCATTCTCCTTCTTTGTGACCCTTGAATTGAACATAAATCACATTAGGCCCAATGGCATAATGGGAGTACACAGTCAGTGTGCTGTGGCATTCAATGAGCTGAGAAATCAATTCAGTGTTCTGTGTGATCAAAGGTAAATGCATTCGATAAAATTAAATTAATTCAACTGTGACCACTTTGGAACCATGAATTGTCTTCCCATGAACCATAATACCTTAATGAAGGCTGACACCCATTATATGCTTTACTTATTTAAAAACATGGTTAAGAATGTTGGTGATTTGATATTGATATATTATAATTTAATGCTAATATGTACGAAATGCCATGTACAAAATGTTTTCACCTTTCCATCCAACAATACAGATTCAGCACTACATACTTAAAATGCATGTGTTAAGGGGAGGCATCAAAAGTTTGATGTCGGATAGAAAACTAAATAAATCTAGTTAGGGGGGAGGGGGTTCAAACCCATTTCAGTTTGCTATCCGACAAATTTCAAAATTTCAAATTTTTGGCAATTTCGACTCAGAATGCCTTGGAATGGTTTAAAAATAAAGATTTTACCTGATGCTTTCTTCGTCAAGATCATTCCAATGGATTCTTTTCTATCAATATTTGTTGAAAGCCGCAAATTACGATAGGAATTAACAAAAACAAGATTGTGTTAGCAATAATTTTTCAAATTCTCGAACCGGAAGTCAGCAATCAACTTTCATGGTATTTAGTTTGGGGGGGAAGGGGAGGGGGGGTCAGAGTCAAAACTAGATTTATTTAGTTTCCGATCCGACATTGAACTTTTGATGCCTCCCCTAAGTCATTAATATCAGTGCACATTTGGATTCGTTTTGTATTTTAGTTACAAATATTGTCTATAGCATTTTTTATTAGACTGCTCATCACAAAATTATAAATCATTATGAGTTGTGACGCTCACCTGTATAAGAATGTTGATTGGTCCAGATTTATCGATTTCTAAAACTTCACTATTTTTAGTTCCAACAAGTATATGCCCGTGGCCCAAGATTATGGCTCTAACTGCAGGAAGTTCTTGAACAAGGACACCTCGAGTACCTGCAAGAAAAGGCATAAATTAAGTATTTGATTCAATTCCACTAATTTTATATAATAGCAGCATGTGGTTGGCTCACATTGTGATACAAGGCATTAACATGACAAAATGTCACCACCTAAAACAATTTGGTCAATTTAAAGCAAGTTGGAAAATACCTTTTGACCTTAAGAATGTTTTTGAAGATTTGAGCTTCTGGGATCTTGTAGATGATTTTGAAAAAAGAAATTGTTCAATCTGAAGCAAGTTAAAACTAGTTGCACACAAATCTTAAGTCAGATTTGAACTTCTTAGAACATGTAGATGATTTTGAAAAAAAATTCGTCAATTTGAAGCAAGTTGAAAAAATACCTCTTTGACTTTTTTTGACATTGAGAAGGTCATTGAAGGTCAAATGTCAAATGTAAAGTCAGATTTGAACTTCTGAGAACATGTAGATGATTTTAAAAAAAAATTAAGTAAATTTGAAGCAAGTTGAAAAAAGACCTTTTTGACCTTGAAAGGTCATTGAAGGTCAAATGTCAAATCTAAAGTCAGATTTGAACTTCTGAGAACATGTAGATGATTTTGAAAAAAAAATTAGTCAATTTGAAGCAAGTTGAAAAAAGACCTTTTTGACCTTGAGAAGGTCATTGAAGGTCAAAGGTCAAATCTAAAGTCAGATTTGAATTTCTGAGAAAATGTAGATGATTTTGAAAAAAAAAATTAGTCAATTTGAAGCAAGTTGAAAACAGACCTTTTTGACCTTTTTTGACCTTGAGAAGGTCATTAAAGGTCAAATGTCAAATCGAAAAGGCAGATTTGAATTTCTGAGAACATGTAGATGATTTTGAAAAAAAAATTAGTCAATTTGAAGCAAGTTGAAAAAAGACCTTTTTGACCTTTTTTGACCTTGAGAAGGTCATTGAAGGTCAAATGTCAAATCCAAAGTCAAATCTAAAGTCATATTTGAATTTCTGAGAACATGTAGATGATTTTGAAAAAAAATTTAGTCAATTTGAAGCAAGATGAAAAAATACCTTTTTGACCTTTTTTGACATTGAGAAGGTCATTGAAGGTCAAATGTCAAATCTAAAGTCAGATTTGAATTTCTGAGAACATGTAGATGATTTCGAAAAAAAAATTTAGTCAATTTGAAGCAAGTTGAAAAAAGACCTTTTTGACCTTTTTTGACTTTGAGAAGGTCATTGAAGGTCAAATGTCAAATCTTAAGTCAAATCTAAAGTCAGATTTGAATTTCTGAGAACACGTAGATGATTTTGAAAATTTTTTTTAGTCAATTTGAAGCAAGTTGAAAACAGACCTTTTTGACCTTTTTTGACCTTGAGAAGGTCATTGAAGGTCAAATGTCAAATCTTAAGTCAAATCTAAAGTCAGATTTGAATTTCTGAGAACACGTAGATGATTTTGAAAAAAAAATTTAGTCAATTTGAAGCAAGTTGAAAACAGACCTTTTTGACCTTTTTTGACCTTGAGAAGGTCATTGAAGGTCAAATGTCAAATCTAAAGTCAGATTTGAATTTCTGAGAACATGTAGATGATTTCGAAAAAAAAATTTAGTCAATTTGAAGCAAGTTGAAAAAAGACCTTTTTGACCTTTTTTGACTTTGAGAAGGTCATTGAAGGTCAAATGTCAAATCTTAAGTCAAATCTAAAGTCAGATTTGAATTTCTGAGAACACGTAGATGATTTTGAAAATTTTTTTTAGTCAATTTGAAGCAAGTTGAAAACAGACCTTTTTGACCTTTTTTGACCTTGAGAAGGTCATTGAAGGTCAAATGTCAAATCTTAAGTCAAATCTAAAGTCAGATTTGAATTTCTGAGAACACGTAGATGATTTTGAAAAAAAAATTTAGTCAATTTGAAGCAAGTTGAAAACAGACCTTTTTGACCTTTTTTGACCTTGAGAAGGTCATTGAAGGTCAAATGTCAAATCTAAAGTCAGATTTGAAGGTCAAATGTCAAATCTAAAGTCAGATTTGAATTTCTGAGAACATGTAGATGATTTTGAAAAAAAAATTAGTCAATGTGAAGCAAGTTGAAAAAAGACCTTTTTGACCTTGAGAAGGTCATTGAAGGTCAAATGTCAAATCTAAAGTCAGATTTGAACTTCTGAGAACATGTAGATGATTTAGAAAAAAATTGAAGTCAGTCTAAACAGTATTTGTTAAGTTATAGGAAGTTGTAAGAAATTGTTACAGACGCCGGACGCCAACCGCCGGACGCCAACCTCCAACCGCCGGACGCCGTCGCAAAAAAACGGAGACCATAACAATATGTCACCACTTTTGGTGGTGACATATGGTGGTGACATAAAAATGCAAAATCCAAAATGAGAAAATTGTTGATCATGATGAATATGTTACAGAAAAGTGTAACGATTCGTCACAGAATCTGACACTGAATGCTGATCACAAAAAGTGACTTTTACAATATGTTACAACTTTTTGGTGGAGATATAAAAATGAAACAATTTATAGTAAGTACAAACCATCATGTCACTCTAAAATAATAATGTAGTTTATTGTAAGTTCTAGTTAAGTTAAGTACAATAAACTATTTGACCAACTACATGTAATTTTTGCATCTATTTTTTCTTATTTGGCATTATTGAGAATTTAATGAGAGGTAAATAAACATACAATACAATACAATACAATACAATACAATTACTCTTACCTGGAGTAAGTGAGGATCGTTTTATGGCGTAAGTTTTCAGACATCTCTCAAATGTCTCGTCCCAGAGAGCAACCATGCCATCTTTTCCACCAGTCACAAACCCCTAAACAAATACAAAAAGTAAAACGTATGAGAAAGTCTGTACCAAACATAAAAGACATACCTAATCAAGTGAAAAATCTACCCTTTGTTAAAAAAAAATCTGTTTCTATCGCATATTGAGGATCAAAGATGTGAAAAAGTAACATTTAAAATGCCCTTGTGATGTCTAAAGAGCGTCTAATAGTGAAACAGCAAAAAAAAAAATCATATCACCGATACCTATTAACATCTAGTACACTTCATGCATTTAAATTAATTAAATTCATGACATATTTTGACCATACTGAGTAGCCTAGCCACATACCTTGTCGAGTGAATGCATGGCGAAACAAGGGCCATCATGAGCCTTGACAGCCTTCGATAAAGTATTCCCAGACCATATATACACCTTTCCATTTCCTCCCCCAGTGTACACAAGATCTGGTGACTTTCCATATGTAATACACATCATTGTGTCTAACTTGGCAACATTACCAAAAGTGCCACGATTCGATGTAAATCCCCCACCTGTAATTATGGAAGAAAGCATGTCAATCAACAGATTACATAGTGGATGATGTTTGGAACCCTGCAATTGGAGGATGAAACTGAACCACAGACTCATAAGTTTCACACTAAACTAGTTGGAATGACGTGGTCATTGCAGTTTTGAAAAAAATACTCATGAGCAGGGTGCCGGAGTTGAAGATTAGAGCAAATGTGACCACAGCATAAGAGGCTGTTTTGAATAAAATACTCGCATAAATTGTGTGTGAAAATCAAGTTTTAAATAGGAATTCCTGATCCTACATAGGCATTTCACACTGCCAAAGTGTATGTTTCTCCAGAAAATAAAATGGAATTGATATTTTAAGCCATAATGTATTGGATCCTATATTAGAAAAGTATTCTACTATCAATACATTTTAATCAATAAAATATTTATCTGTCTGTAACTAACTACTTTACTTTGATTTTACACTTTACCTGTTTGAGTCCAGAATTTAATATGTTTTACTCCTACAGTAACTAGTTTGTTTTGTTCATGAGGATTCCACTTTATCACAAATATCTTGTCCTTGTGACCTCTGAAATTAAACAAATCCAATCAGTTATATAGAAATGCTATCTTTGTGACCCCCAAAGTTACACAAAAATCAGTTATATACATATGTTCATTCTTTGTTACCTCTGATATCAAACAAATTCAGTTGTATAGAAATGTTGTCTTTGTGACCCCTAATGTTACACAAAATCATTTATATACATGTCCAGTCTTTGTGAACAAATTCATTATATACAAATGCTGCCTTTGTGACCTCTAAAGTAATACAAATTCATGTTCTGTCTTTATTACCCCAAAGTAATACAAAGTCAGTTATATATATCTGTCCAGTCTTTGTGACCTCTGAATTTAAACAAATTCAGTTATATAGATATGTTTGTCTTAAAGTAATAGATGACAGTTAAGGTAGATTTGATGCAGTTTGAAGTAGAGGGCTTGCTTTATAGATGGATAAATAGATGGCAGTAAAGGTAGATTTGAAACATTTTGAAGTAGAGGGCTTACTTTATAGATGGATAAATAGATTGCAGTAAAGGTAAATTTGATGCAGTTTGAAGTAAAGGGCTTATTTCATAGATGGATAGATAGATGACAGTAAAGGTAGATTTGATGCAGTTTGAAGAAGTAGAGGGCTGATACATAGATTTATAAATAGATGGCAGTAAAGGTAGATTTAATGCAGTTTGAAGTAGAGGACCTGCTTTATAGATGGATAAATAGATGGCAGTAAAGGTAGATTTAATGCAGTTTGAAGTAGAGGACCTGCTTCATAGATGGATAAATAGATGGCAGTAAAGGTAGATTTGATGCAGTTTGAAGAAGTAGAGAGCTTGGTTCATAGACAGATAAATAGATAGCAGTAAAGGTAGATTTAATGCAGTTTGAAGTAGAGGACCTGCTTTATAGATGGATAAATAGATGGCAGTAAAGGTAGATTTAATGCAGTTTGAAGTAGAGGACCTGCTTCATAGATGGATAAATAGATGGCAGTAAAGGTAGATTTGATGCAGTTTGAAGAAGTAGAGGGCTTGGTTCATAGACAGATAAATAGATAGCAGTAAAGGTAGATTTAATGCAGTTTGAAGTAGAGGACCTGCTTTATAGATGGATAAATAGATGGCAGTAAAGGTAGATTTAATGCAGTTTGAAGTAGAGGACCTGCTTTATAGATGGATAAATAGATGGCAGTAATGGTTTCGGTTTTGAAAATCCTCAAAATTGGATACAGGAAAATAACTGTGCAGAGAAAATTCAAAATTCCTGCTTTTCATTTAATATAGAAGAAAATGTTGCTCTTTAGTGGTTAAAATCCAGATCTACAATTTCATTAAAAAATCTTCAACAAGATTTAAAAGCTGCATCGTGATGACTCTGTTGTATTTGGGTTTCATATAGCTATATTTTATATTGGTGGGAGAAAAAGCTAGCGCATATTACTGCCTAATGCTACATTACAAACACCCTGGTTTATTTGTTTATATTATTTAAGAAGCATGCTAGATGCTACAGTTTATAGCTTTTTTGTCCTTTTTGTGTTTCAGTTTAGCAATGATCTTAAAGACACACAAAAACATGAATACAAAGTTCTATGTGAATAAAATAGAAAGATAACTCCCATCCTCATCCCTATTTCTATCTGTTGTTTAAAGTACCAACGCTATGTTTTATGGTCATATTATATCAAATGTACTTTACTTTTGTAACGCTGTGTTATTCTCGATGCTCTGTGAGTCTGGGGTTCGTTTTTCGTACGATCGTAACTTACGATTCCGAGAAAACCATTTGTTTCTGTTTTGATGAACAATGACTTGCGACCAAATCGTAAGTTACGATGGTTTCAAAAACGGACCCCTGTGTCATAAATATCCTCCAATACTTAAGAAAGCAGGAAAGTGAAAATCTGCATGTAGTGGTATCATTTTCATTTGAAAAACCTGTTTAGATATGCTACAGTATGGAGGTTTATATTAATCATAAAAGACCTACTGAGGACTAAAAAGTAAAATTTCCAAGGTCAAAGTAGTGGTAATAACATCATTTTCATTTGAACTTGTTAAAACAACAATATGGAGGTTAAACCTAAGACGGTGAGCATATTTTACATTCTCAATTAGTGATCAAAACTCCCCTTGACGTACACATTTTATAATTTAAAATAATAACAATAGACAGTCTTCGACATGTTTTTACTCCAGAAATGAAAATTTGGAGTTATAATATTATTGGGTTGTTAACAATGTAATACAAGGCATTAACATAACAAAATGTCACCACCTAGTTGCTCACAATATTATGTGTTCACTCTTAAGTCAGATTTTAATTTCTGAGAAAAAGGTCAATGTGAAGCAATGTGAAAATACCTTTTTTGACCCTGAGAAGGTCATTGGAGGTGAAATCTCAATTCTAAAGTCAGATTTGAACTTCTGAGAGCTTGTAGATAATTTTGAAAAAAATTAGTCAATTTGAAGCAAGTTGAAAAAATACCTTTTTGATTTTGAACTTGAGAAGGTCATTGAAGGTCAAATCTTTTTTTACCTTGAGAATGTCATTAAAAGTCAAATCTATAGTCAGATTTGAACTTCTGAAAACTAGTAGATAATTTTTTAAAAAAAAGGTCAATTTGAAGCAAGTTGAAAAAAGACCTTTTTGACCCTTTTTTGACCATGAAAAAGTCTCAATGAAGGTCAAATCTCAAATCTAAAGTCAATGTGAAACAGGTGAAAATATCTTTTAGACCCTGAGAAGGTCATTGAAGGTCTCAATTCTAAAGTCAGATTTGAACTTCTGATAACTTGTGGATGATTTTGAAAAAATGGTCAATTTGAAACAAGTTGAAAAAATACCTTTTTGACCTTTTTATTACCCTTTTTTACCTTTAAAAGGTCATCGAAGGTCAAATCTAATATATAAAGTCAGATTTGAACTTCTGAAAGCTTGTAGATGATTCTGAAAAAACTGAAGTCAGTCTAAACAGTATTTGTTAAGTTATTGTAAGTTTTAAGAATTTGTTACAGACGCCAACCGCCGATTACCCTGCGTGCAGAGTCTAGTTAAACTACACTCTGCCTAGTAGAGACCATATCAAAGGTTAGTAGCCCCGTCCCCACGACGGGTACCGGTGACAGTTTGGGTAATAAATCACTTCTGACTTACGCGCTGACCTTTCTTCCACCAATTAGCGAGCTTGAAGAAACATACGCCAAATGCGTTCTAATTAAATATGAGCATGCCATTGGTCAATTCCGGGCTTAACGATGACGTCAGAAGGAATGACCATATATAGAACGTCGGTCAAATTTGGCCGACGAACACTGATTGGCGTGGTGAGTTCACAGGTTTATTTTAGTTTGAAAGAGTGAAGACGAAGCTCTCTTTTAAGAAGTCAGTGAAGTCAAACGAATGCAAAAGGGTAACCGCCGATCGCCAACCACCAACCTCCGATCGCCGCCACAAAAAACAGAAACCATAACAATATGTCACCAATTTTTTGTAGTGACATAAAAACTGATTTACTGGATTAAGATTATATTTATGCTTCCTTACTATATAAAGCCCACACCTTTTGGATGAAAATTTAGGTCATCTTAATCACATAAGACCTACTGAGGCCTGAAAAAGTAAACCTTCAAAGGTCATCAAAGTAGGCCAATGGATATTTTCTAAAATTAAAACATTGATATGTTTGGAACAAGGCAAAATCCAGCCTGTAGCCATTATTATTTTGAAGAGATCCTGTTATCACTGCATACTAGGAACTGTTCTAGAACTGTTCAGAAGGCGGTATAAGTATAAATTAACATGGGACTCAATGTAAGCGTGCAATATTTTCAAGGCCTGCTAATATCCACTTGGGCCAATTTTTAACACTTCGGCAGAAATCCAAAATAAAAGTTTTACTGATACTTTGATCAAAAATGGTGACTTATATTGGTATATAGAATGTGCAATTCTAGGTTTATATTCCCGTAACTAGAGACGTTAAGCTACACATATTTAACAAAACTTGAACGTGAACTTCAATGCGCGCGCAGATAAATGACGTAAGATTTGTTTATTTCCTGTGGGCCATCGTGGAGTTTACAAGTCGATTCATGAGATTATCATATTCGTGCAATTTACAGACGCATATTCAACAAAGCATGAACATGTACTTCTATGCGCGCGCAGGAAAATGACGTCAGATTAGTCTACTTTCTACAGGTAAGCGTGAAAGTTACAGGTTTTTACGTGTAGATGAGTGATTACACGTCACTCATTACGCGACGTGATTGATTTTAGCTATGTTCTAGGATGGCCCGGGAGCCCATATTTGATACAAACAATCTTGCTTGTTATATTGGTAAACCCTAATCCTTAATTGGAAATAATAATACATTTTAATGAGTAAATTACAACTTCAAATGTGATCGATTGGTCATTCCGTACAGTATAAATAGGCAGGGCTAATTTGATACCCGGGGCTTGGTACAATATGTATACTAAACGAAATGAAATGACAACCAGGGCCTACGATTGCCTTATCACAACGATTGCCTTATCATTTGATTTGCCTGAATCTGAATGACTGAATGACCTGAATTGGTTGCAAATTAAATAATTTCACAATTAATATGACAGAAATGGTATTTCACATCAGATGTGCAAATATAAAGTTTGCAATGGATTCAGGTCATACTTCAAATTAAAAGATTATACATTTTTTCATCATTTTTTCCTACAAAATGGCTATAGAAAATGCTTCAAAAGCAATATTACACTTATGAAATCCAATACAACTTTGTAAATCCAAAGATTATACTGTTATGTTTCATTAATTAATAACATATTTGGATAAGATGTAGGGATGTGTAGGATGCAAATGGATTTTGACGGTCACACAAAGACTTCCTAGTTTGGCATTTCTACCCCTGTACACTTTATGATTGAACATTGGCCCTAATAAGTGGCCCATACATCAATACAGTGCTGAATATAGGTCAACAAGATACTAGTGTACATATAAATGTAATGATAAAAGCAGTA